ACAGCCACGAGGAGGACCAAGCTCAAGGAGCAGGCACAGCCACGAAGAGGACCAAGCTCAGATGGTTACCACTCAGGGGCTTGAGAGACAAGTGTCGAAGGAGTTGACACCGGGTCATGAGGAGGAGGAGCAGTGTCGAAGGAGTCGACACCACTCAGGAGGCACAAGAGTGCCAAGCAAGCAGGATAGCAAGGAAGAGGAGCAGTGTCGACAAGAGGCACAGGGGTACCAAGCAAGCAGGAGAGGCCCCCTGAACAGTACTCGATGAAGAAGGTACTCTCTGGAGAGAGAGCAGGAGCAGCATCGCTGGCGATGCTGTGAAGAGGTATATAACCATGCTTTCTCATCACCAAAGGTTGAGTGGATCCTTATCCACTCTACTCACCATACAACTAGTCAATACTTTAGAAACATAAGTACTCATTAGTTACAGTCAGCATAGCAGCAATCTAACAAGGTTGCTCCTCATCATAGTGTGTGTGTTGTATCACCACTACCTGACGTCCGTAGGCGCCCCATAGCAGGTTAGCGGTCCGGATATAGATAGAACCGAAGGCAGTAGTCCACTGTGGTCCAGGGATCACTTCAAGCATCAAAGTCAACACACTGGACACTCGTGTTGATGCCACCAACCTTATCACCAACACCATCAACCTCATTATCATCAACACTCACCAACCTTATCACCAACATCATCAACCCCATCATCATCAACACTCACACCAGACCTTGGTGTCATCATAACTGAAGCATTGATATTGATTGTGCCGAGCTACCCCTGAACAGAGTGTCCACAGAGGTCAGCCAAAACCTATGATAGTATATACAATGAACGCCACCTGCTGTCACTGCGCAACTTGATAGTCACCGATACCGAGACAATAGCTGTCACACAGTTTGATAGTCACCAAGTATCTCGACAGACCAACCTGGGTTTCAGGTGCGAGACCCCTGACATTAGAGTGGATTGTTCAAGCAGCTCCTCACGATCACCATGACGGACCCAGACCTCAACAATAAGCTCGATAGACTACTCACTCTATTGGAAGCACAGCTAGAGCTTACCAGGCAGGATCAATGGGAGGAACGATTACAACGAGCTCACCTGAGCAGAGAGGAGAATGATGTTGAGAAGAAGGAGGAAGGGTGATGTTGGCGATGTTGTCGAGGAGGAGGAGGAGGAGGAGGAGGAGGAGGAGGAGGAGTCAGCATGAACCAGACCAGAGCATGCCTCGACAGAGCTCGGCTCTTAAGAGGGGGGTGTCAGGGGTCTCGCGCCTGAAACCCAGGTCGGTCTGTCGAGATACTCGGTGACTATCAAACTGTGCAACAGCTATTGTCTCGGTATCGGTGACTATCAAGTTGTGCAGTGACAGCAGGTGGCGTTCATTGTATATACTATCATAGGTTTCGGCTGACCTCTGTGGACACTCCGTTCAGGGGTAGCTCAGCACGATCAATATCAATGTTATGATGACACCAAGGGCTGGTGTGAGTGTTGATGATGATGAGGTTGATGGTGTTGGTGATGAGATTGGTGATGTCGATGATAATGAGGTTGATGGTGTTGGTGATAAGGTTGGTGGCGTCAACACGAGTGTCCAGTGTGTTGACTTGATGCTTGAAGTGATCCCCAGACCGCAGTGGACTACTGCCTTCAGTTCTATCTTGATCCGGACCGCTAACCTGCTATGGGCGCCTTCGGACGTCAGGTAGTGGTGATACAACACACACACTACGATGAGGAGCAACCTTTGATGGATTGCTGCTATGCTGACTGAAACTAATATATACTTATGCTGAAGTGATAACTAGTTATGGTGAGTAGAGTGGATGAGGATCCACTCGACCTATGATGATGAGAAAGCATGGTTATATACCTCTACTCAGCATTGCCAGCGATGCTGCTCCTGCTCTCTCTCTCCAGAGAGTACCTTCTTCATCGAGTACTGCTCAGGGGCCTCTCCTGCTTGGCACCCCTGTGCCTCTTGAGCTGTGTCGACTCCTTCGACACTGCTCCTCCTCCTCATGACCTGATGTCAACTCCTTCGACACTGCTCCTCCTCCTCATGACCTGGTGTTGACTCCTTTGACACTGCTCCTCCTCCTCATGACCTGGTGTTGACTCCTTCGACACTGCTCCTTCTCCTTTGATCAGTGACAGTTCCTTTGGCTCTTGTCTCTCGAGCCCCTGAGTGGTAACCATCTGCATGCTCCTTGAGCTTGGTCCTCTTCGTGGCTGTGCCTGCTCCTTGAGCTTGGTCCTCCTCGTGGCTGTGCTTGGCCCTCCTTTGCATGTGAGTCCATAGGAGTCCATGGTCTCCATGGAGACTGCACTACGACCATGCTCTCTACTGATCTCGACTAGATCTTCGATACCTGTGCTCCTTCCATATGAACCCGTGACCCTCCTGCTTCTTGAGCATCCAGGCCCATGACACCAGTGACCCTCCTGCTTCTTGAGCATTCAGGCCCATGACAGGTGTTTGCCAAGGAGTATAGACATTGGACTGTTGAACAATGGAAAAATGTCATCTGGAGTGATGAATGCAAGGTTCAACACATTGGAAAGGGCTTGGAAAAGCAAAACTGGTCCAGGGATGTCAACTATGATATATATATACCTACACTGCAGGGGGGTGGCCACAGCATCATGATTTGGGGGTGTATGACCTGGACAGGCCTAGGTCTAATGGTCTATATAGATGACAAACTGAATTCAGAGTGTTACATTGAGTTGCTGGAGGAAGCAGTGCCTGGTAGCATCTTGAAGTGGAAGAATATACAGAGAATTCCACCAAGGGATAAATTGATCTTTCAGCAAGACAATGCCCACCCTCACACTGCCAAAGTTGCCAAGGAGTACCTGGAGGAGGTCAAATTCAATGTATTGCCCTGGCCTGCAATGTCTCCAGACCTGAATCCTATAGAACATGTGTGGCAGCAGCTGAAAAAGCAGCTATATCAGCAAAGATATACTATCAACAATAAAGCTCAACTCATTGCAGCTATCAACAGGTTTTGGGCAACTTTTCCCAAGGAATCAGTCCAGGCACTCATAAAGTCAATGCCCAGGAGGTTACAGGCTGTAAGGGTTGCAAAAGGGGGCCATACAAAATACTAAAGTATAGTATATAGTAATTTAGGAGGAGCTTTACACTCAAAAAAAGTCATGGCACTTTCACTGTGCACAAATGTGGTCCAATCACAGCAAAACTTATATGTACTTGTAGCTCTCAATCTCAGCTTTCCAACAATATGTCACAAGCTACACTTCATTGAGGATACCAGCTCTTGAGAAGTGAAGTTGATGTGTGGTGATGAGCATTTAATTATCCTAAAAGATGCCAGGCAATTTTGGATGCGACTGTATTTATTCCTTGTCTGTGTGTGTTTTTCTTTTTCTTTTCTTTTTTCTTTTTCTTTTTCTTTTTCTTTTCTTTTTCCATTTTGCCGCTTCTTCGGTTCAGTAGTGCGACTGTTCCCAGCGCTTGATTCCGTAATGATTGTCGCTTCTCCTTGGGGAAAACCATGTCCAAGCCAGACTACCTCGGAATCAATTTACTTGGAGAAGGGGTAGGTCTGTCGGCAGAGCTAGGTCCTTGCGTCAGTCGAATCATCTATTTCGCATCGATGCTGTTGCAGTTGCCTACACCTTTGCTTGCCTTGTCAATTCCTGTCAGCTTGCAGTTACCCGCTGCTCCCTCTTTCCCTTTCCCTTTGCCGCTTTCCGCCCGTAGCCTGTCGTTTGCCGTGCTGCCGCCTTGGGCCGGCTTCGCCTGCCTGCGGATAACAGTCACGCATCTCTGGCTGTTTTAGCAGGTTAATGCGCTCTTCTGTCACAGAGGACTATCTTCAGTCTTCTTGGCGTTGGGCCTTGATTGTCAAGATCATGCCGCTTTTCGAGTCTTTCTCTTAGATGTCAGTGGTACGACCGAGGACGGACGAGCCTCACTATGCTTTGCAATCTCTCAAGCAGATGTCATTCATTGACGTGACCCCTTGCGCCCCGCATTTCTCGTCTGGTCTGCTCCACCTTGTTCGTTCCTCCCCCCTGCAAGCTTCTGCCATCGCAGCATCTCCTCGCTCTTCCCTTGTACATCGCAAAGTCTTGCAGACAGGACTTCCATCCGCTTTCCCGCCATTTCGCATATGCCCCTTGCTCTCTTGACTTGTCATCGCCCCTGCATCCACCCGCCCAGCTGTTGGATGTCTCTTGGCCTGCATTGGAACTCGATAGGGTCGTACATTACTTGCCAGTTGCTGACAGCTTGGCAGACTTCGCCGCTGTCTCGCCCTTATTCTGTCGCAACTGCCTCTCTTCCACCTCCAGACCGTCTCATCCGTGTCAAGCCTCCGCTCTGCTTTGACATTTTACGCTCAAGACTTGCAGCAATCACCCCTCGCAAAGCTAGCCATCACTGTCACTTACCTTGTGCTGTAAGTCAAAGATCGACGCTCTCGTGGTCGTCCCTCTCCGCTGCTCGAGACATATCCGTTCTGGCAAGCTCCATTCCACCTTAAAAGAAGCCTATGCTGGTCGTCGATTCCGCTTTCGCAAAATCTTTCTATTATTCGTTTCTCTCCTTCATCGATTCCTCCCCTTCTCAGTCTTGGCCTGCTATCATCTTGGTCGCCATCACTTACTGTTCTTCTTCCAGCTCCACCACATCCACCTGTCTGCTCGCCTAGCCCTTCGATCCCCATCCCATCCCTCCCCTCTACTCTGGCACTCATACTTTAGCGTATCATCGACACTCTTTTTAGTCTTTCTCGTCTTGCTCGCATTCTCGTCTAATATCTCATAGCAGCTCACACCCGGAAAAGCCAGCCAAGCATCATCTCTGACAACTTCATCTCTGCACCCTGCTCTAATTCGCATCTCAAAAAGGTCTTTGGCACCGCATTCTATCTCATTCGCTAAGGACGTCGCGCGTTCTCTATCTGCGACCTTCCTTCTCAGCACCGACAAAGGCTATCTCCTCTAGGCCATCTTGCACATGTCCACTGCGCAGTCCATCTCTCCAAAAGGAGAACTTCAGCACCTCTTCCCGTCCCCGACTTACTCTGACTCGACCTCGTCGTCCACTTCCCATCTGTATACCCCTGACAACGACATGGCCAATCACGCCCAGGACGCCAACGACCGTCTCAGTCTCCACCACGCTTCTATCAGCGCCGCCAACGCCGCTTTCGTGTCTACCACCAAGCGCAACGATACCAGCATGAGCGGCGACACTACCCACGAGGACAGCAGTCTTATCTTCGCACACAACGTCAGCGGCGTTTTCGATGCGGATATGAGCGGTGACACCCAGTCACTTGCAGCTGCGCTTGACTTTGACCGCATGAATGCCGATATGCAGCAGGCTCTGGGCAGCGGCGACAGCTACTCCTTCCTTGGCAAGCGTCCCACCATTTCGCAGCCCTTTGGCAGCTTTGGATCGATACTGCACGTCCGTGCCGATTCCAACTCGGGACGACGTCATAGCATCCAGCCATTGATGCCTTCGAGCGATTCGAGCTCATCGCTGGCTGACTACGCCAGTTTGGCCGGCAACAATGCTGGTGCACGCAGCATGAGCATCTCTGTCGACGCTTTCGAGTCCTTTGGCTACCACGCAAACATTCCGCACTCTTCCGCAAACTTTGCTCACGCCAATACACAAGACATGTCAGGAACTGGATTCCTCATGTCGCCCCCTCGTCTCACGGTTAGCATGTCTAACAGCAACAGCCCCGCCCCATCTCCACTTGGCGACTTCGCAGAGGATGCAAAGCGACGTCGCACTTCTGAGGTCGACGCCACACCTGAGCGCAGCGTTGAGCAGCTTGCTCAACAGAAGCGCTTCCTTCCTCAGCAGACCCCGCCGAACATGTATGCCTACCAGCTGCACCCGCAGTTCTCGATCGGCTACAGCGTTGGCGGCGGCCTGGAAACCCCTTCGTCGGTCCAGTCGAGCGCTTCGCCATGCCGAATTCGACGTCTCTCGCTCACCGCCATGGACCGTGCAGCTCACATTGCCAACCTCACTGCCAATCTGTCGTTGCCGTCGTTTGGGGGCGAGCAGCCGCCCAAGAGTGCACCTCCACGCGCTGCCTCTGATGCGATGCAACAAGCACAGTCCCAGTCTTCCCTTAGCCGCAAGGCAACCGAGTCCAAGCCAGGTACCAACGGTGCCAACGGCAATGCTAGCGGCAATGCAACCCCCAACAGCAACGGCAAGAACCAAGACGTCTTGCCCGATGACGTCGAGGTCGCATTCTGGGAAGGTAAGTTTCTCTTTCTCTTAGCCTTGGTTCCGCAGTTTCCTGCTCTCTGTGATTTCGTTTGCATTGTATACCTGTATACCTGCATACCTGTATGCTGCATCTAGCCTCTGTCGGGTTCGAGTTCACTCTTGTCTCTGTACTTTCTCATCTATGCATCGAATATGCATTGACAGGGCGAGGCGAGAAAGAAGGTTGCGCTTCTTCGGCGTTGACTGTTGACTGGCGCTGTTGGAAGTGCCAGGCTGCTGAGCCTTCTCGGAGTTGGAGGGAAGCAAACCGTTCTTGACGAAGCCGAGACATAATCCCCCATGTCACCTCCTCGGCTTCGTCAAGAACGGTTTGCTTCCCTCCAACTCCGGCGACAAGGGGGATTATGTCAGCTTCGAAACCGCCCGTCACACAGAGAGAGATGCGTCTCGGTCAAAATTCAGACTCCGATTTTGACGCGTGCAAATGGCTGCTAAAGTGTCAATTTGGGCAAATTGTGTTTGACGTCGCCATGCTACATTTGTGCTGCCACATGGACGCCGAGCACCATCATCTCCGAGCTCTTCTCTTGGGCGGAGCGGAGAACCTTATCGCTCAATCTCTGGATGGATACAGAAGCAGTCGATGCTGGAACATTTGAACTTTTGCAGAGAGATGCGGTGCCTTTGGATCTAACGTTTCTTTCTTGCAGGCAGGCTGACTTGACTGTTCTCTCTTCCTACTTCTCGTTGCCTTCATCTTCCCTCCTTCCCTCTTTGCTTCCACCACCATTCCGTATTCTACCTTCTTCCCGTTCTCGCTCTTGCTCTCTCTTCTCCGTGCTGGCTCACGACGATACCCGTCACATCTGGTCTCTTTGTTGATCAGCTCTTCGACTCATCCCCAAGCTCGGTCGTCGCAAAGTGCTGGTGCACGGCAAGCCCTGTGGTCGTAACGAGCTCATCGCCGACTACATCGAGCGCAAGACCAACAAGGTGCGCACTCGCAAGCAGGTCTCGAGTCACATCCAGGTGCTCAAGAACATTCGCAAGGGTGATCCCGAATTCCAGCAGCTGATCGCGGAGCCTACCACCGAGGAGGACTTCTACATCCCTGCTGGCGGTATGATGTACGCACAGACGCTCGCTGGCTACGGCTACGGCGGTCTTGGTGGTGCATATCCGCTTCTCTCCATGGAAAACGCCGGTGACCTGCTCTCGCCCTATACCCCATCCCTGTCCGGCGGCCAGGGCCTCGCGAGCCCGCTCTCGCCTGGCGCCCCTCCCATGTCGGCTACCCACTTCATCACCTCGGGCTTGAATGCTCTTCATTTCCCGCAGCAGACCGGCATGAAGGAAACAAGCGGCAACACATCTTGCCCCATCCTTCCGGCAACCTTCTCCATGTGGGTGCATTGCTCGTCCGGCGACGAGAAGCACGTCTACACCAACCTCAACCGCAACTCGATGACCACCTACGCCAACAACCAGGCCTCTCTGCCCCAGATGACGCTTGATTCGGTGCGTGTTGGCCACTTTCGCTTCCCTCGTCTCGCCGAGATGTACCATCACATGCCATGCCAGTTCCTCCACGTCCACGTGCCACTCTCCATCCCTCGTCACAATGTCATGATGCCGCGTTACGACCACTTTAGCACACAACTCTCGCTTACGTCGGCTCAGGACTTGCGTCTTACCTCGGTGACCACTGTCTACTCGCATGGTAAGCGTGTACTGTCGCTGGTGGAGCCCCTTGATCCCCCTCGTAAGTTTTCGGGCAGGAACGGTGTCGAGGCTACCTCCACCAGCACAGTCGCTGCCACTACTTGCACCGCAGAGGGAAGCTCGGATGCCGAGACTGCAGACAAGGATGCCACTTCTCACGACGATACGACTGCTTCGATTCCTACCAGGAGCAAAAACGATCAGCGCCGTGAGAGCGACGGCAGCATTGCTTCTGTGAGCCCAACTTCGAGCGGGCCTGCTTCGCCTCGTACGCCTCTGGATGCCAACAACCAGTCCAACAGCAACCTTCGTCACCGCTGGTGCCACCAAGCTCCTTTCGCTACTGACTTCTGGGCCGACTTCCTCAGTCGTAACCATCCCGTCAACGTGTACAGCGGTCGCGATGGCATGCAGTCATTTGGCAAGGAGCCCAGCGAGCGAACTGCTCTCGGCATGGCTGTCTCGGGTGTCACCATCATCCAGGAGCTGGTGGTGGCCAGCGAAGACAGTTCTTGTCAGGGAGTTGCCGCTTCGACCGCTGCAGCTAATCGTGAGAGCGCCGTTCTCAACGACGCTGGCCCTGGCTTGAGCCCTGGCAGCAAGGTCGGAGATGTCGTCTTGGTGATCGCTTGGGACCTTGAGTGTGTCGAGTCGCTTGGCACCAACCCAGGCACACCTGCGGTCTCTCTCCTTACTCTTGGACCCGGTGCCTCGCCCTTGGGCCGCACTGCTCCCCTTGCTTCTCCTTTGCACCAAGCTGGCGCTGCGTTGCACATGACCCCTCACGACCTCTCGCCCATGACGGCTGCTTTCCCTAACGGTGGCGCAACCCAGTACGGACATGCTTTTACTCACCAGGAGCAGCAGGCGCAGCTCAACATGCTCAACGGTGGAGCCGCTCCTCGCGGCTTTGCTCACGCCAATCCTCCTCCATCGCTGATCCACACACAGCCCTCGCCTCAGCCCAGCTTCGGCTTCAAGACCGAGCAGAGCCAGGCTGGCTTGGAAGGCAACCTTCAGCCTCCCACTTTGCTGCGAAAGCGTGGGTTGTCGATGAACAAGCCTAACCTGATGGTCTCGATCCCTCCTGCCCCCGCGTACCTCAACCCTCGGAGGAGTGCGAGGGGAGCCATGCTTAGCCCTCACCCTCAACTCTCGCCTGCCGCCAGCCCTACACCCGCTGCATGGGGTCGGATCCAGCAACGTGCAGTGCACACGCCGATCACGCCGTTCCCTCAGGTGGGAGCCGGTGTGTATGAGCCTCCGCCGCTCAACACGGGCGTTGATGCGAGGATGCAAAAGGAGCGCCTAGAGAGGCACTGGGCCAGCCAAGGGAACCCACTTGGCGGTGCGTTGCCATCGCCACTGGACATGAGCTTCAACCAGTCAGAGGCCAACAACGTCTTGATGGGCTCTGCCGGAATGGCTGTAGCCGCTGTGGTGAATGGCAACAGTGAGTCGGCCCTCGGTCTGATGATTCCTGGAGGCATGCACAGCGGTCTGCCTCTTATGTCTCCCGCTGGCTTTGACATGGAAAGCAAGATGGGCGGCGACAGCAGCATGGACTCGGGCAATAATAGCTTTGAGCAGATGCTTAACGAGGGTGACCTGAGCAACGACGCCACAACACAGGAGTACCTGAACGGCTTGTTGGCATCCATTGGTGTCGAGGGACAGGAGTTCACTGCCGCTGCCTGATGCGATGCGATGCTGTGCTGACCTGCTTCCAATCTCACCCAATCCCTCTTGGAACAATCTCTATTTCCTTCATGATGGCGCCGGCTGGCCACGCCGGGCTAGTCCTCGAGCGTCTGGCCATCGGCCTCACATCTCCTGCTTTTGTCATGGGTCTCTTTTTATTCCTCACTCCGCATCATCGCTACTTGCTGTTTCCTCTCGTTGCTTGATATCTGTTTATGTTTTCGACTCTCTGCCTCTCTTTTCGGCCCACTATAGCTTTTCTTAACTGTATCCTTAGCATCGCATACTGACTCAATCCAGGTTAATGTCCCTCCTCAAAGGATCATCACTTGCCGTGCCTGCACCGTCATGCTTTGCGTGGACATCTTTGCTCTGTGAATCCATATGGAGAGACCTTGCTATAATGCAGGTTCACATTGGCACTGCAGCGAATCGGGATAATAGGTCATTTACGCGTCGCGCTATGGACGCGACATGTTTCGGGCGAGAGACACAGTGAGTGAGAGAGAGGAGGACAAGACACCTAGTTGAGGGAGTTGAAGTAGATAAAGCTACACAAAGCCTAGAGACAGCGAGGGTAATGCTTACGGCCGAGTGAAAGGCCTGAACATCTTAGCACGGACCACATGTGTCACAACCTACTCAAGGCAAATGCTTTGTTATGCTCCGCAGTCAATGCGGCTCTCCGCCGTTCTTCTTTTGTATATATAGACTCCAAGCTCTCTCGCTCTCTCTCTCTCCTACCAATCATCACCATACGCAGAAAATCAGATTCCTCAACTGATTAAGAGTCTGAAGCTCAGCAGCTTCTAGCGCCTCGCCACCAGGATGCCACCAAGAGTAGATAGCGTAGCACTACTCGAACGCACCATGCAGATGATCAGGGAAACTCACACCAACTGGGACGAAGACCAAGTCTTGGAGCGTGCCTTCTCGCTAATAAACCTCCAACCCAACACCAACCAAGCAGAGAAGATCCCCAAGTCGGTGCTCAGCATCATCTCGCAAATCGTCAAGCTCAACGAGAACAACTGGGCCATCTGGGAGCCGATGTTCATGGACTGCATCCGCCCAATCAAGAACGCCAAGCAGATCCTCACTGAGGAGATTCCCAGTGGCCATACCGATTATGATGAGGAACTAGACAGCCACTTGCTGGGTCTCATCTTGTCCTCCTGTGACCACGGACCCACCAGCCGTATCAACACCTACACCGTGCGGGAGCAAGGTGAGGAGGAGCAGCTCGGCTCTACACTCTACAAGAAGCTCAAAGCCGCTCTCACAATAAACGACGAAGTTAAGCTCTCCGCCATTCACGACCGGGTACACGAAGTCAAGCTAGCCCAGCGCAACATTGCCAACCTTGGTAAGGAGCTCGATCAAATCTGGAATGACGCAGCCAGGCTCGGTAGCCGCATGGACGAAAAGCTCAAGAAGTCTACCCTGTACCGCTGCGTCAAAGACGACTGGCTCTACACCCAGACAGTAGACTCCCTCAAAGCTGCTCAACCTGGTTGCAGCTATGAGTATGCCTATCATGCACTAGCTAAGAAGCACCAAGAAGCCGAGCTCTCAGGTCGTATCCGAGCCACGGCCAGAGCCGCGAGCAATAGAAGTTCAACAGGCCAAGCTGGCGAGCATAGGCAGGTTCTTAACCAAGAGGGCTACAATAGGGGCAGGCGCGACCCCGCAAACCCTAATGAACCGGCCAAGTGCTATAAGTGTAGGCAACCCAGGCACATTGCCATCAACTGCACCAACAGTCAGGAGCAAACTCCTACTCAGCAGGGATAGGGACTCGGGTGCACCTTTTTCATAAGCAACACTGGCAACCGCAAACAAGACAGTACGTGGATTCTCGACTCTGGAGCTACACATCACATGGTACATGATGAGGGTAAGCTCATTGCTCCGACGCCGAAGCAAGGATCCGTAGATACTGCTGGACATGAACGGTTGCGAGTACAGGCAATAGGCGATGCAACTTTGCGAGTAAGAGATGTTAAGATACCACTCACTGATGTACTTCATGTTCCAAACCTTAGCAAGAACCTATTGTCCATCCCAGCGCTGACTGAAAATGGTGCACGTGTGATATTTGAAGAGTCTGGAGCTACTATCCTCCAGCATGATGGGAGCATGGTCAAGAGCAAGACCAACCGGCGCAAGAAGAGATGGGAGGTTTACGGTGACTCCCTAGCAGCACAGCTCAATGATCCCCTAGAGGGCATTGATGCTACCACAACACCAGCAAAACCCGCGAGCCACACGACGAGCAAGCTATGGCACGAACGATTTGGTCATCCTGGCAGGAACAAAACCAAGCAAATCCAGGCCCACTACTTAGGAAAAGAAACACAGCTTGGACATGATGCAAGGGATTGCAACTGTTGCAGCCAAGCAAAGCAAACATGCGCAAGAATGACAAGTAGCAAAACAGAGCGAGCCCAGGCACCCTTGGAGCTGGTACACATTGACTTGATGACGGACCTGAAAGGCCATCCCAACTACCACCATGCACTGGTAGTTGTAGATGACTCGTCATCCTATGTATATGTGAAACCACTCCTCAGCAAGACCGAAGCATTCCCCGCCCTAAAGGCATGGATCAAGGCAGCAGAGATAGCAACGGATCACACGCTAAAGTGCATCCGCAGCGACAACGGAACAGAGTGGTCCAGCTTTGGAGCAGAAGAATGGAAACGAGAAGCAGGGTTCAAGTGGCAGAAAACCACACCTTACGTCAGTGCCCAGAATGGGAGAGCAGAGCGCATGATCAGATCCCTTCAAGAAAAGATGCGTGCAATGCTTGTCCAGAGATCAGTACCAAAGGAGCTGTGGCCCTACGCCATCATGGCTGCAGGGCACACACTGAACTTGACACCCTCTACCGAAGCAAATAGGATCCCATACGAGGACTTCCACCGCAAGTCTGCACATGGCTTGGCCAAGCAGCTGCGTGTCTTTGGCTGCCTTGCTTGGGTCCACCTCCCCAAGAAGGATCATACAGGAAAGCACGGCGTAAGAGCAATCCCAGGAATCATGGTTGGCTACGATGACGAGCACAAGGGCTGGAAATTCTTTACCCCCGGCCACACCCCATCTATACGGTGGAGCAACTCAGCCACATTCCATGAAGCCAAAGGTTGGCATGATCGCCCCAGTGTGCAGAGCCCACTGCAGTTCGGCTTCGAGAGCCTCGAAGCAGAAGATACTAGACCTGAGACAGATAGCAACAAGCCCGAATTGGAGGTGGAAGTACTCGACATGGAGGACCCACTTCCCAAAATACACACTGCACTGCCCGCCGACCCTATAGATGACAACAGGTCGGAGCTCGATGTTGAAGAGATAATTGGAGAAGCACACACAGCCACCCTGAACCTCACGCTGACCTTAAAGGAAGCACTCGCCAGCGATGATGCACAACAATGGCAGGAAGCCATACGCAAGGAGCTGGACGGACTTGAGGCAATGGGAACATGGGAGATTGTGGATGTTCCACCAAACACTAGACTTGTCGACTCCAAAATAGTCCTTCGGCTCAAATTGGATGCCGATGGCATACCAGTCCGGCACAAAGCGAGACTCGTCGCACGGGGCTTCACACAGCGGGAGGGTATCGACTTCGAAGAAACCTTTGCACCTGTGGCACCGCTCAGCGCAATAAGAGCCCTGTTATCTTTGGCAGTGGAGCGCAACTGGGAAGTCCATCAGCTTGACATCACAATGGCTTACCTCAACTCCACGCTCAACCATGTGATCTACATGAAACCACCAGAAGGTGCCAAAGTGCCAAAAGGGAAAGCCTACCGAGTCATCAAGGGACTGTATGGCCTTAAACAGTCAGGACGGGAATGGAACATGGAGTTTGATAAGTTCCTGCGACGCTCAAACTTCCACAGGCTCGACTGCGCACCATGCATCTACACTAGAGGAGAAGGAGATAACTTTGCAATAGTGGTCATCTATGTTGACGACACACTAATTATAGCTCCAACCCTAGAAACAGTAAGGCGTATCAAGGAGGAAATAGGCCAAAGATGGCGGATGGAGGATGGTGGCAATGTCTCCCACTTCCTCGGGATCAAAATCACCAGGGATCGAGAAGCGAAAACCATGGACCTCGAGCAAACTAGTTATGTTAAGCAGCTTCTGGATGAACATTTGGACAAGCGCAGAAGGAAGTCTAGCGTACCACTCCAAGACATTCCAGTCCCAGAAACAGCAGCAAGCATAGCAGAACGAAAGGAGTACCCACAGATCGTCGGCAAACTCCTGTGGTTGTCTAATGGAACACGTCCAGACATCAGCCAAGCCGTTGGCGTCCTTGCACGCTATATGACACAACCGTCAAGGGAGCACTACAACGCTGCACAGAAAGTACTCCAATATTTGGACTACACACGAGATATCCGCTTACAATATGGCAGCAACAAGCAACAAGACTTTCTGACAGCACACAGCGATGCAAACTGGGCAAGCGACGCTACAGCACAACGCAAAAGCTCATCTGGTTCAGCAGTGTTCGTATGTGGCAACCTGGTAGCATGGAAATCAGCACTACAGCGCTGCACTGCCTTATCGGCGGTGGAAGCAGAATTTGTAGCTGCGACAGAAGCTGCACGAGAGGTCCTGTTCTTCAAACACCTCTTCAAGGCTGTTGGAATTGACGTTGGTATCCCTACAATCTTTTCAGACAACACTGGTACCATCCAGGTTAGCAAGGACCCCGCGCAACACTGGAAGTTAAAGCACATTGACACCAAATACCACTTCATCAGAGATAACGTGCAAGATGGAAAGGTCAAGATCAAGTACATTAACACTGCAGATAACTTGGCAGACCTCTTTACCAAACCGGTGGGAAAGACTATACTACAGCGCGCGCGACAGGGACTGGGACTAAAAGCCCAGCATGATGCAGTGGCTCGGCAGTCTCCTGCCTTGCCACTGAGGGAGGCAGTTGAGGGAGTTGAAGTAGATAAAGCTACACAAAGCCTAGAGACAGCGAGGGTAATGCTTACGGCCGAGTGAAAGGCCTGAACATCTTAGCACGGACCACATGTGTCACAACCTACTCAAGGCAAATGCTTTGTTATGCTCCGCAGTCAATGCGGCTCTCCGCCATTCTTCTTTTGTATATATAGACTCCAAGCTCTCTCGCTCTCTCTCTCTCCTACCAATCATCACCATACGCAGAAAATCAGATTCCTCAACTCACCTTTTTCTCTTTTTCTTCGGTTGCGCGTCAGTTCAAATGTGCAGACTGCATTCAATGGATGTTACCTCCTCGACACAAGTAACAGCGACTCTGACAAAGTCCGTCAATCCGACTTGCACCACGTTCATCGCGTTGCCAGATGTTACTCAGAGCCTCCAAGTCGAAAGCCAAGCTGGAGAGAAGCAGAGGCTGAGTTGCGAGCCGTGAACTCGGCATGCCTGAAGGAGCGGCTTCAACCATGACACTCTGTTCCCGTGGAGGAGAAAGATAGCCCTGCGTAACTAAATGGTTGGTTTGTTTTTCATATTATTATTTATTTTGTCAGCGATTGACTGACATGCTGCCTGCAATTTTGAACAACGAGTTGTGAGGCTACGGTCCGCTCTGGGCCCAGTGACAATTTCAGTTTGTGTGTCCCCTTGGTTGAGCTTGTCTGGCCAAAAAGCAGCTGTTGGCTCTCTGTTGGCTCTGCTGTTGCTGTTGCTGTCGCCGTGAGCTGCTGTTGCTTTTTCATTTTGCTTCTCCGCAACCGCAGTCCAACACTTTCCGCTCCACTGCAACACATTCCTCCAATATCGAACAACCACATCGACCATTGCTACTTGGATTCATTCCCTTCGTATCTTCACACCTCAACACCAAAGCTCCTCTTTGACATCAACACAATCGCAAACAAAACGCAATCAGCCCGTTCGCCGCTTTCTCCTCGTCACAACGGCATTCTTGTCTCAGAAATCACCTCCACACAAACAGCACTCGTCTAGTAGCCGGCTACAATAAACAGCAGCAGCATCTCCTCTGCATCGTCCTCATTACCGTTCTGCCTATCGCAAAGCCAACCTTCTCATCAGCTCCGTTCCATTCCGCACCGCTCTGGTCTCCTTTCTTCTTTCTCACCCCCATCATCTCATTTGCTCTGCCGACAGATCGACCGCAGCACCGTACGCCGCTTTGCGACGAATCACCTTCAGCTTGCCCGCACACCCAATTCGCATCTCCATCCGTCAGCCTGACCCATCGTTCGGCTAGAAACTACTTTTCTAGCGCAGCGCATCCCCTGGATGATCAGCTACAGCATTCAGGCTCTACTTTGATTAACTCTTGCTTTCGACCTTACTGTCAAGTAGCGCCAAACAAGCAATCCGTATATCGACGCTGCATTATGCTCAATTGCGTCCATAAGTCTCTGTAACCCTTTCTGGGCGCTTTCGGACTCGAATTTGCCGCTTTTCTTCCCCCACCAACCCCCTTCGCGCACACACGAACCCACCTCAAGACTCCTCCTTCAGCGCTTTCCTCTCGACATGGTATATGCGAGTCGTTCGCGAACAGCTCTTTCTTCGGTTCCCCAAAACCACACTTCCGACATTCCTTCTGCAGCATCTTTGAGCACAAAGTCGAATCAGTCTCGTCTGTCTTGTCCCTTCACCTATCAGGCAAACACGGCCAAGAAATCTCGACGCTCCCTCCTTTGTGCCAAACTTGCCCACACCAGCTCGGCTCTGCTGCATTCTCCGTCTCTAGCCAAACAGGCTGCTTGCATTGTCGATATTCCTGTACACGTCGCTCCCCCTTTCTCGATGCAGGTCGCTCAGCTCCGCGCTGGGCTCAAGCGCAAGAAGGACGCTCGCAACCAGCTTGGTAGGGAGCCGCCTGGAAACGCCAAGTCAAGCGACAGATCTTCCGCCGGCGTAGACTCTCTCGAGGCCAGTCATGTACGTAGGAGTGCCGTTGCCTCCACCTCTCAGCTTCGCAGGACCGGCTCTCATGCTTCTCGCACCCACAAGGATAGAGGTCTCGACAACATCATAACATCGCCTTACCTTCCTCGAGACAAGCCCGCGTCTTCAGCGAGCGAGCTTTCCGACTGGTCATCTGTGGCTTCGGTGTCTCCAACCACATCCCGTGCGCCCCACTCCAGATTCGACGATGCTTCAGCTGCAGCCGTAGCTCCGGCTCGTCCGGGCATCCAGACCAGACGCTCCGGTCGCAACTTGCTTCACAGAACCATGGATGGGATGACGCTCGAAGATAGTTTGCCTGTCGGACTTGGACTTGGCGTTCGGAGAAGCAGCCGATCTCATTCTGCTTCGATGAGCCGCCAGAGCAGCAGTCAGACCGCAGGTCGTCCAGATGGCTCCCCTGGACGCTCATGTACAACCAAAGCTTCCCAGAGGTCCGGCGCCTCCCCAGATTCCGACCACAGCAGCTCTGCCAGCCCTAACATGGACGACGAAGAAGCGGAGCATGCACGTCTTATCTCGTCAGCACCCAACTGGCAGCTCCATCGCCTTCGCAAGGACGAGCTCATCGATCTTTCCACCAAAGCTGGGGCGTGGCAAGCTCTCCCTGCAGAGGACGAGCTCGAGCTGCTAACAAAGCAGGACCTTGTCAATCAGATCATCACCTGCCGCTCTCGACTCGACCGCTCCCAGTCTATTACTCGTAAGGCATCCGCATCTCTTCAACGTCCTCATCGAAGCTCTAAGGGCGCTCACTTGGACGACATGCACGACCAAAATGCAGATGATACGAGTGGCCTCTGGATGGGATCCTCGAGCCGCAGAGCTTCTCATCGACTCAACCGCAGATCACGAGACATCTCTTCCTCCAATTCAGCAGATGATCGCGAGGAAGATCACAGCGAAGCATCCAATGAGGCTGGCGGAGAGGAAACCGAAGCCGAGCCCCAGCGCTCATCTAGCATGCGACGACACAACGGACGATTGACCTCGACTCAAGCACGGCTCAAGTCCGATGTGACTCTGCGTCGTATGGACTCTTCCACCTTTGATGAGCTCGAGCCATCCAAGACAAATCAGGCGCCACGCCGCCAGCTCCGCGACAAGGCAAGTCTCAAAGGGGCCATCAAGCGTCGCCTTCGTATCGCTGATGGCTCCGAGGCACTATCAGCATCTACCTCCTCGTCCATCTTTGGAGGAGGTCGAAGTTCGCATGCTTCCAACACCTCTCCCTTGCCCTTTGTACATCGCCAACAGCAGCACAATGTCTTCATTGCATCGTCTCCCGTCAGAACACGCTCGCGCTCGGCGCGCGCCACTCTGAATCCTCCCCACAGGCGCAAGGCGGGAGCACGAGGCTTCAGCGGGTCGGATGCAGGCCTCTCATCCGCTGATCCCATGGCCACGCCCAAGCTCGGCAATCACCGAACGCAAAGAGCTCGGAAGACTGTCCAGTTCAATGCGGCAGCCTCAATCGCGACCGATGTTCTGGCCGAGGACGAGTGGATGGAGGACCTCTCGACAGACAGTGAGGCGGTAGCCGCTGCTTTGCAGCCTCCATCTGCTGATGTGGTCGATGACCACCAACAGCAGAAGGCATCACGAAGGGTTTTACGTGCAAGACGTTCCACAGCCGACTCGGAAACGAGTTTGAGCTCGCATCGTCCGCGAAGCCGAAGCGTTTCGGCAGAAGCACCTTCAGATGATCGTATCGAAACAGCCGAACACATTGAGGATGATGTCATAGCTACATCGGATGACGACAATGATGCACCCACGCCGACCAAGTTTCGCAAGCTCCGAAACGGCAAGCTGCGTCTAATAGCCGGCTCGTCTCGCTTAAGTAGTGATGACGTTTCCCCAGAACCTGGAGCTCTCGAAGACGACGTCGACATGGAAAGTGCCACAGAGTCTCACGGAAGGTCAGGATGCCAGGACGGAAGCTCGACTTCGCGAGGTGTGGGTCGGAAGCAGCGGAGTGAGTCTCCCGAAAGTGGCATTGCCCCATCCGAGAGTCTGGAGAATGCCATGGTACAGCCCACATTCACTACGCTTTCGCGGTTGCGTAAGTTGGAGCTCGAGCAGTTGTGCTTGCATCGCGAGATTGACATCGATGACGATGACAAGAAAGCCAATCTGATCAAGAAGCTGCTTGACTGGAACCAGCTGACGGAGATCGAGGCTGCAGCTACAGACGGCTCTGACACGGAAGCTGACCAAAACGGAACGACCGTCCGACCCAGCCACGACGCAGATGCCGATGAGACACGCTCGGACGTTTCGACCGCAACTGCTACCGCGGAAGATGAAACTGCAAAAGCTGGGCAACGCACACCGACACGCAGGCGCGCCACCCGGGCTGCTAGCAATACGCATCCTGAGGCCACAGACAGCGATCAGCCTTTGCTTCTCCGAGCCCGTGGAAAGGCAGTTTCATCCGACAAGCTGCCAACGCCGCCCCTCACATCAAACAATGACGAGGCAAACCCACCACAGGCGGGCAACGGCATTGACGAGCTCAACGGTCTCGATCTGGAGGGCCTCAATCTCACCGACAAGGAGATTCACCCTTCCAAGCTCGAGAAGCTCGAGAAGATTGGCTCTGGCGGCTTCAAAGATGTCTACGTCGGCAAGTACCGCATTTCGAAGACGCGCGTCAACAAAGTTGCGATTGCTGATATTCGCGATCAGTTGACCGAGATGGACATCAAGGAGCTAAGTCTGCTTCGCGACCTCCGTCACGAAAACATCGTACGATTCATCGGAGTCAGCATCCCTGAAGATCCCCGCCACGTGCCGTGCATGATCGTCAGCGAGCTCTGCTCCAACGGCGATTTGTTCGACTACATCCGTAACATAGCAGCACCGTGTGATGCTGAAGTGTTCCGCATTCTGCTCGAGACAGCTCGCGGACTGGAGTACCTACACACACGAACGCCTGCCATTATTCATCGCGACTGCAAATCAACCAACGTGCTCATCACACGGCGCAAGACGGCCAAGATCAATGACTTTGGTCTGGCGCGTGTCAAGAACACTTCACGGTCCATGATGAAATCGCTGGTTGGTACCGTCAACTGGCAAGCGGTTGAACTGTGGGTGCCCAAGCCGCACTACAACGAGAAGGTCGATGTCTGGTCAGCGGCCATGACGTTCTGGGAGGCTCTACAGTGGCACCAACCCGAGAAGAAGTACCCTTTCCAAGGAATGAACGAGCATCAGATCTATCAGGATGTCGGTCAGAAGAGACAGCGTCCGTATACGGGTTTCATACGACGTCAATTTGGAGGCGAGATCGTCGATCTGCTGGACAGGATGTGGGACCAGACACCCAAGAACCGGCCAACGATGACGGAAGTGTGCAACGAGCTGGAGGCGCTCATCCAGATGAAGAAGGATGCTGCTGCAGCCAGCAACGGTCGCAGCAAGGCATAGACGCAGAAGTCAACAGATGCTTGTCCCACAAGATGCGTGCTCCCTCACAAAACTACTCTCGCATTCCAGAAGGTCAGATCGACCAATAAACAGTTGAAGATATACAAGTCCTGTACACTAAGTTGGGCTACTGACAAGCACCTAACACGAGTGTATAGTTTTCATGTAAAAAGTCTTAAAATTTAAACTGTATGCTACTATGTATATGGTTACATATATATACCTGATGATCACCTCCAAAGTTCATCAATCCATGATGAGTCACCTCTTATTGTTGCCCCTGAGTTGTGATTTCCTGTGTGTCACTATGACAATGTATGTGCATCCCACATGCATTGCCACTTATGTGCAGCTCCTCTTAATCAAGAACTAGCTCATGTTCTGCGGACTCTGTATTATTCTGTGAACCCTGTTGGGATGCTGATGCATCTTTAACTCCCCCCTTCAATGGCATTACCAGCCCTAACAACTGGGCTAGTTGAGACATTGCTAGACCTTTCAGCTGCTTTGTTAGTATGTCCACCACATTGCTTGCTGTTCCAACAAATTCAATTGCTATCTCTCCATCCTGCACATGGTCCCTGATGAAGTGATATCAAGTGTCTATGTGCTTCAATTTCCAATGTTTCGCCAGATCCTTGCTCACCTGAATGCATCCCTGACTGTCAGTGCAAAGGACTGGTTGGATCATTCCCATCTCCAGGTCCCTGAGGAGATAAGAGAAGAAAAGTGCCTCTCTTGCTGCTTCTGAGGCAGCGACAAATTCTGCTTCCACAGCTGATAATGCTACACACTTTTGAAAGTGTGATTTCCAGCTAATGGGGCACCCATATATGTATGTTACTGCTCCTGACATACTCCTTCATCCATTCATTGGGTCTGATGCCCAGTTTGCATCTGTGTATGTGATGACTGGGCATTCCAAGTGCTTGCTTGATCTATCTCCAAAAATCAGTTTGTACTCACTGGTTTGGTTTAGGTACTTGAGCAGATGGATTGCTGCTTTCCATGTGCTACTTGTTGGGCTTGACATATATCTTGCTAGTACCCCAACCATGAATGAAACATCCAGTTGTGTGGTGTTTGATACCCATAATAGTTGTCCCACTAGCTCTTGGTATTGCTTGGCTTCCATCAGGTTACATTTGTCTTCCCTTGTAATATTAGCTATTCCTTGCATTGGTACCCAGGACTTCTGATTAGTCACTTGTAACCATTTGCTCACCATCACCTTAATGTAAGCTGACAGATCAAGTGACATCTTCTTCTGTGTCCTATCATGCTTGATTCTTACACCCAAGAACTCCTTCACTGGTCCATTATCCTCTGTACCCCATTTTGCCATTACTTCCTTCTTGGTGTGGTCCACCTCCTCATGACTGGGGGATGCTATGAGCATGTCATCCACATATGCTGTAATTATAGTTAGACTACCCTCAGTTCCTCTCAAGTATAAGCAAGGTGCACTCAGCATGCAATGGAAACCTATGCTTTGCAAGTGTGAATCCAATTCCACATTCCACTCTTGGCCTGATTGTTTTAGTCCATACAGTCCCTTAATTAACTTTAGAAACTTTCCTGGGGGAACCATTGTTCCAATTGGCAGCTTCAGGAAAACATCATGGTGTAGTGTCAAATTCAAATATGCCTGTTTTACATCGATGCAGTCCACCTCCCAATCTTGTATGGTTGCTATGGCTAGAACTCCTCTGATAGCTTGGATAGGTGCCACTGGCACAAATACATCTGTGTAGTCTATCCCTTCTCTTTGTGTGAATCTTTGTGCTACCAACCTTGCCTTGAATTTTGTCGGGATCAAGTTTGCATCTGTTTTAATCTTTAAAACCCAACACATGTTGACAGCATTCATTCCTTTTGGGAGGTCGGTGATTTCCCATGTACCCATGGCCCTGAGTCCATCCAGCTCCTTATGCATCGCCTCCTCCCAATGTTTCTTGTCCTCTCTGGATAATGCTTCACTCATGGTTGGATCCAAGTTCTTCCATCTGTTATCATTTATTGCTGTGAGTCCAAGAATTGGACCATCAGTCTGCATCTCAGCGTTGACATCATATGTGGTGTATTTTGTCATACCGTTAGTTGAGTTCTCCTCCTCATTTGATTCATCAATCATATCCATGTCCAGGTATTTGTTGTGAGGCTCCTCATCTCCTTCATCGAAGAGGTTCTCATTTGTGTACCCCACATTGTCAAGGTCTTCTTCATCTGCTAGTGCTGGTGGTGATTGAATATTCGCTGGGTGCCACTCCGTTTTGTCAAGCCAGCATTTAGTTTCCATGAATCTCACAGAGTTGCTCCAGAATATATTCAGGTTATAATCTGGGCTGTAGAAGAGCCATCCTCTTCTTTCCAGACTGTATCCCAGGAATATGGATGCCACCGCTCATTGGTCTAGTTTCTTATTGTCTCTCTTAACCTTTGGGATGTTTACCCATGCCAAGCATCTGAAGACCCATAAGAGCTTTATGAGCCATTCTGGTGACTTTCCAAACATGGCCTGATATGGGAATTCACCATTGACATTGGGTGTGAGGTTCATTTTGAATGCTGCAGCCCGGATCGCATATGGCCAGTGTCATGGGCCTAAATGCTCAGGAAGCAGGAGGGTCGCTGGTTCATATGAAAGGAGCACAGGTATCGAAGATCTAGTTGACACCAGTAGAGAGCATGGTTGTAGTGCAGTCTCCATGGAGACCATGGACTCCTACAGACTCACATGCAAAGGAGGACCGAGCCATATGCGAGGAGGGCCAGGCACAGCCATGAGGAGGACCAAGCTCAAGGAGCAGGCACAGCCACGAAGAGGACCAAGCTCAGATGGTTACCACTCAGGGGCTCGAGAGACAAGTGTCGAAGGAGTCGACACCAGGTCATGAGGAGGAGGAGCAGTGTTGAAGGAGTCGACACAGCTCAAGAGGCACAGGGGTGCCAAGCAGGAGAGGCCCCTGAGCAGTACTCGATGAAGAAAGTACTCTCTGGAGAGAGAGCAGGAGCAGCATCGCTGGCGATGCTGAGAAGAGGTATATAACCATGCTTTCTCATCATCATAGGTCGAGTGGATTCTCATCCACTCTACTCACCCTATAACTAGTTATCACTTCAGCATAAGTATACATTAGTTCCAGTCAGCATAGCAGCAATCTATCAAGGTTGCTCCTCATTGTAGTGTGTGTGTTGTATCACCACTACCTGATGTCCGAAGGCGCCCATAGCAGGTTAGCGGTCTGGAACAAGATAGAACCGAAGGCAGTAGTCCACTGTGGTCCGGGGATCACTTCAAGCATCAAGTCAACACACTGGACACTCGTGTTGACACCACCAACCTTATCACCAACACCATCAACCTCATTATCATCAACACTCACCAACCTTATCACCAACATCATCAACCTCATCATCATCAGCACTCACACCAGACCTTGGTGTCATCATAACCGAAACATTGATATTGATCATGCCAAGCTACCCCTGAACGGAGTGTCCACAGAGGTCAGCCGAAACCTACGATAGTATATACAATGAACGCCACCTGCTGTCACTGCGCAACTTGATAGTCACCGATACCGAGACAATAGCTGTTGCACAGTTTGATAGTCACTGAGTATCTCGACAGACCGACCTGGGTTTCAGGCGCGAGACCCCTGACAGCCAGAAGCTCTTTGGTAGTCTCCTTTGCATGAGTAGTGTTCTCATTTTCTCCCCTAGACTCCTATTCATCCTTTCTACACATCCATTCTGTCTGCTGTTATATCCAACTGTCATCTGCCATTCTATGCCTCTATCATATGCCCATTTGATTGCATCATTGCTTCACCACTCCATGCCTTGGTTGGATCGTATTGCTTTCAGACTCCTTCCCATCTGGGTTTCGAGATATGTTACTATCATCTTGAGTTTTGGGAATGCATGGCTCTTCGGTAGTAGAGGCTGTACATACACATACTTGCTATGGTCATCAACCAATACTAGTGTGCATGTGTATTCAGCTGAGTGTGACAAATCAACTATCAAGTCAATGTGAATGAGATCAAGTGGGGAAATGGATTTCTCTCTGCTACCTTGTCCCATTCAGGCTGTCATGCTCTTAGATTGAATGCATTGCTCACACATTTGAGCTGTATCCAGATTCAATTTAGCTACATTGTCACCTTTTAATAGATTGTTGATGGCCCTTGACTCATGCTCCTTCATCTGTCATTGAGTTTGTTGACAAGAGGTTAACATTGAGATGCCTGACATATAGTACATTGCGGAGTAGTATATCTCTGTTACTTGTTGATATGTTGACATCTCCAATAGCTGTTGCTTCCAAAACCTCGCTTCTGGCTGTGAACACACATTTACAACAGGTTTTGGGATTGATGAGCATGCTATGAATGTTGACCATATGGTAACTGGCCCCTGAGTCCAGGATCCAACGGGATCTTTCTTTTGGATCTAGAGGCCTTTTCCAACTTGGTGTGAAGGAACACCATGGTTCCTATTTGGTCTTGGTGAGGGGGGAATTTTCAGGGATGGTTACTGTAGCATCACACTGGCTAATTCCATGTCCTGGTCATTTGCAAATCCAGCACCAAAGCCATTGAGGCCGAGCAGCAACCTTGGCATTGGTGTTATCTCCATCTTTCTCATCCCCCCCATCCTTCAGGGTTGGTTTGTCTTGATCATCACTGCTGGCAACTCTGGCACTGGCTTGGCAGGGGTCAACCTTCTGAGCAGGGTAATTCTCAATTGCAGATTGCCAAATGGTTAGTGCAGTGGCGAGGGTGCTAAAGGTGAGCTGGCTGATGGTGGCAACCATTTCCTTATACATTGGATGGCAGATGGTGCACTTCTGCAAATTGGAGAACAAAGTATCATCGGCAAAAGGTTTTCCCAATAGGCTGCTTTCTGTCTGGATTGTCCTGATTTCTTGAATGAGTTTTCAAGCATCAGAGTTGAACATCCTGAGCTCACCTAACTGAGCAATGAGGGCAATCCAGCATGAGGTTGCAGTGGCTTCATTGGTCAGGCCATTTTCGATTTTCTTCCAGACCTGACTGAACATATGGTGTTCCCTGATGATGTCGAGAATTAAGTAGTTTACATTATATTCCCTGGTGGTGTCGATGGTGCCACGTACTGTGTTCATCAAGGCATCATCAAAACTCTGTTTCCACTTGGGGTGTTTCTTATCGTATGTTCCCTCAAGATGTTTCATGGTGTAAGGGACAGATCAGAGAAAGGACTTGATGTGAACATTCCAACTATAGTAGTTCTGTGATGTGAGCTTGGGCACTGGCTCGAGTAGCTTCACCAGGGTGTGGAAGTTATATTGCTTGCCACTGCTGTCTTGGTCGGAATCAGAACTGGTTTCCTCATCATTGTCTATCACTTTGACTTCTGTCTCGTTGGTGACTTCATTATCAGCGGCTCGCAGCTGGGAAACTTTACCCTTCTTGCCTCCTTTAGTTCTACTTGCACCAGCCTGTGTCTCAGTGTTGTCTACCATAATGGTAAGGGGTGGTCCTGGCTGGCTTGATTGGTAGAGCTTCAGATTCTTAATCAGTTGAAGATATACAAGTCCTGTACACTAAGTTGGGCTACTGACAAGCACCTAACATGAGTGTATAGTTTTCATGTAAAAAGTCTTAAAATTTAAACTGTATGCTACTATGTATATGGTTATGTATATATACCTGATGATCACCTCCAAAGTTCATCAATCCATGATGAGTCACCTCTTATTGTTGCCCCTGAGTTGTGATTTCCTGTGTGTCACTATGACAACGTATGTGCATCCCACACATGTTGCCACTTATGCATGGCTCCTCTTAATTGAGAACTAGCTCGTGTTCCATGGACTCCATATTATTCTGTGAACCCCATTGGGATGCCGACGCATCTTTAACTTAAACACACCAAACAATCAATTTCTACCGAGTTTCCGTTTCAAGCATGTTCCTTTCTCCTCTCTCGCACTTGCATTTGTATCACTATCATAGCTTTCAATCTGATTCGTTGACGCTCTTCAACGTACAAGACCATGGCATCAACATGCGGAGTGAGGGGGGGGGGGGGGGGGGGGGGGGGTGGGTGTGCAGTCTGCAAGTCAACGCAACCCAAGGCCAGTTTGCTGCATTGAGCTGAGCCGACAGTGCAAGTAAGAATTTTCGCAAGTTAGATTTGATCAAGTCACAGAAATTGAGATGGACGAAAAATTGGCTGCCTGTTTTTTTGACACGTGTAAAAGCTGGCAGTTGTCGCGCGAGAAGAAGAAAAGCGTCTCGATTAAGCGTTGTTGGCTGCTGTCGTCGTGTCACAAATGCATTTGCCGGGACCGTGCAAGAGCCTCTCGACGGCTCTCTCTCTCATTCGACACACTTGTTTGAGTCTCTCCGGGTTGACTTGCAGACATACAACCACATCTCAGCCTTGGTGATTCACCAGCTTCACGTCATTCCCCTATACACTTGGGCGCATTCAGCTGGACACGAAGGTAGCACATCTCATCATCAAGAGCTTTCCAGCAAAAACACCGACACATTGTTGAGAAGAACATCGACTCATCTCGAGATCGGCGCAACAAGCACAAGGACCTCCTCCCCCCTTCTACTTTGAGTAGAACAAACCGACAAGATGGCGCTATCTATTTTTGTGCCCATCGGCTACGTTGCCACGTTAGTGGTGTCGATGCTAGTGTTTTCTCGCATCTACCGCCGACGATCTGCGCTCAACATGGCAAAGTCATATCAACCATGGTTCCCTGAAGGACACGAAGCAAGAGACATTTACCAGACATTGGTGGCTGCAGATCCACCGGCACCAGAAGCAGTGCTCAAAGCGGCGTTGCTGAACCGAGCTATGACGGACGTACGCCGCATCACGCGCATGCGCGACGACAAGCAGGCACTCGGAACGCTGTTGGAAAAGGGATCGATCGGTGATGAGACCATGGCAAGATTTGCATTGGCTGAAAAGGAGCTCGAAGCCGAAATCTTGGATGTCGTGTCGGAAGCCAACACTTTCCGCGAAGGGTGGGGTCAGTTGATCTTCCCTACTGCCAGCGAGATGGTTGCTCACCTGAAACACAAGGAGGTGTACTACGAGATTCAGCGTCAACGTGCTGCGGAAGTCAAGAAGCTCGAAGACGAAGGGAAGCCTGTACCCAAAGCGACGGTGGAGCTGCCACCACTGGTGACACCGTCCGGAACTAAGATCGAGATTCAAGGCGGACCGGCTGCGGCGGGTGGACCTGCTGTTGCTGGTGAACCGATGCCACCCGGTGGAGGACCTGTACCTAACGGACCTAATGGGCCTGGGATCAGCTTGCCTATGACTGGATCTGGAGCTGACGCGCGAGTGACGTTGCCCAATGGTCTACAGATTCACCCAGCCCAATTGGCTGCTATCATGCAAGGACCACTTCCACCCAACCTTGCACCCCAGCAGGCTGCGATGCTGATGCAGGCACGTGCGCAGTTGCAGGCATTGCAAGAACAGGCGATGGCACAAGCACAGGCTCAAGGACATGAGCAAGATGAAGAAACAAAGGCAGTTTCGGGAGCAAGAGAGGAGACACTGTCAGAAGCAAAGAAAGAGACAAATGCGGCGCCTGCTTCCAAGACAGCGACTGTGGAGGATGGTGGCGATGATGCCTAGTAGACGCAAGGTTCTCATTCATGAAGAAGGTTGGAAGACGCTTCTCCGAATCCATCACAGATGGGTTCACTATCATGTTTCATTCCCACAAGCTGAGGTAATGCCAACACACATACGACACACACCTATAGCATCGAGAGCACCACGATCCCGTCCGAACCAAGTGCTTGTGGGGACAAGAGAGCAACGTCGTTGACGTCGTCGACGGCTGTATTTGTGATTTCGAAAGCATCCAATGAGAATCACCATATGACGAAGCACGAATCGCAGCTACGGCCTGACCCGACGGAAGCCTGGATCCGTGTGGGTGCGAAATAGGCCCATCTGACCATGTGACCCCTTCTTCGAGTGGGAAGACATGCATAGATCGACCATGGAAGGTGGAGTGGTAACCTTAGATTGAGCGTTGTGATCTGTCGATGGTCGGAATGTTTGTTTGATGGAAATCAGATTCTCAGCAGCGTTTAGTGGTGCAATTTAGTAAAAGTATGTGACTTCTACTTTGATCTCACATACTTCGCCAACTTCACTCATTCAGCTATGCACCATGTAGGCCCAAACTGACTGCTGCAATAGGCATTGGCATACTGGCTACCAAACATCCAACATAGTTTCCCTGTTACATTTCAGCCTTATCATCCTTGTACAGTCCCTGTGCATAAGTTTGAGGACAATTGGGTAATTTCCCAATTTAGCCAGTTACCCTGCATTTGGGTCATTGTTGTCATTGAGCAATAGCACTACCATCATACTAATCAAGAACACTTCAAACACTGATATGGTCCATGGCAATGAGCTCTCTACAAGCAAGCATGCTTCAATCATTGCAATGCATGATACTGGGCTGCCAATTTGACAAATTGCAGAGCTAAGTGGCATTTCCAAGACAGCAGTTCACAAGACCATCCATAACTTTAAGGAGCATGGTACCTTCAAAACAAAAGCACTATCTGGCCATCCATGCTCCTGGACAGCTACCTTGGACTGATACCTTCAGCATGAGGTACTCAAAAACCTGTTTCTATCATGGCAACAGCTGTCAGCAACACTTGGTGGCATTCCAGTTGTGCAGCTCCAGAACACAGCATACCAGGCCAGTATTAACTGCTGGATTGCACTCTGAAAGCTGTTTCTGACAGCCAAAAACTGGCATAAACATCTAGAATGGGCCAAGGCTAACAGCACAACTGATTGGAGGGGTGTGCTGTTCACAGATGAGGCAGCTGTTGAGGTTGGCTACTGGCCTGGACACACATGGGTTAGTTGCTGGAAAAACACTCGAGAAGGCATCAACAACATGGTTCCAACATTCTGTTCCAGCTGTTTCAGCATCCAGGTATGGGCCAGCATTGCATTCAACCTTAAAACCCTGTTGATTGTGCTCCCATTGGCTCCAAGAAAGAAGCAGCTGGGGTTGGCTAATCAAAGGGATCCTGCCAAGAACCTCACAGCTGTCAGATATTGCAATTGGATCATTGATGGCCTGCTTTGGGATGCTGTAACTGCTGTTAGTGCATACCCTGACAGCCTGTCAGTTGTTGAAGACAGCAGCAGCTGTCATCAGGCTGCTATCTGCAAGCAACAGTGGGCCAAATACCACATTAAGATGCAGGAACACCTGCTGGCTTTGCCAGACCTTAACCCTATTGAGAACATATGGTATGTATTCAAAAATTTGCTTGGTAAGCACTTGCCAGTACCAAAAACATGGGATGAACTTGCCAGAGCTGCAGAGGAGGTGTGTGTCAGGGGTCTCGCGCCTGAAACCCAGGTCGGTCTGTCGAGATACTCGGTGACTATCAAACTGTGCAACAGCTATTGTCTCGGTATCAGTGACTATCAAGTTGCGCAGTGACAACAGGTGGCGTTCATTGTATATACTATCGTAGGTTTCGGCTGACCTCTGTGGACACTCCGTTCAGGGGTAGCTTGGCATGATCAATATCAATGCTTCAGTTATGATGACACCAAGGTCTGGTGTGAGTGTTGATGATGATGAGGTTGATGACATTGGTGATAAGGTTGGTGAGTGTTGATGATAATGAGGTTGATGGTGTTGGTGCTAAGGTTGGTGGTGTCAACACAAGTGTCCAGTGTGTTGACTTGATGCTTGAAGTGATCCCCAGACCGCAGTGGACTACTGCCTTCGGTTCTATCTTGATCCAGACTGCTAACCTGCTATGGGCGCCTTCGGACATCAGGTAGTGGTGATACAACACACACACTACAATGAGGAGCAACCTTGATAGATTGCTGCTATGCTGACTGAAACTAATATATACTTATGCTGAAGTGATAACTAGTTATGGTGAGTAGAGTGGATGAGGATCCACTCAACCTATGATGATGAGAAAGCATGGTTATATACCTCTTCACAGCATCACCAGCAATGCTGCTCCTGCTCTCTCTCCAGAGAGTACCTTCTTCATTGAGTACTGCTCAGGGGCCTCTCCTGCTTGGCACCCCTGTGCCTCTTGAGTGGTGTCGACTCCTTTGACACTGCTCCTCCTCCTCATGACCTGGTGTTGACTCCCTCAACACTGCTCCTCCTCCTCATGACCTGGTGTCGACTCCCTCGACACTGCTCCTCTTCCTCGGGACCTGCTTGCCAGTGTCCTATGACTCTTGTCTCTCAAGCCCCTGAGTGGTAACCATCTGAGCTTGGTCCTCTTCATGGCTGTGCCTGCTCCTTGAGCTTGGTCCTCCTCGTGGCTGTGCCTGGTCCTCCTCGCATGTGGCTCGGTTCTCCTTTGCATGTGAGTCCATAGGAGTCCATGGTCTCCATGGAGACTGCACTATGACCATGCTCTCTACTGGTATCAACTAGATCTTCAATACCTGTGCTCCTTCCATATGAACCAGTGACCCTCCTGCTTCTTGAGCATCCAGGCCCATGACAGTGTGGAACACCCAGATCACACTCAAACATATCAACCCTGTGATCAACTCACTGGAGCATCATGTGGAGCAAGTGCTTACTAAGCATGGAGGTCTGCTCAAGTATTAGTCAGCTCCGAGACTCACTGCAATCAAAAGCTCTTCTTTTGAACTTGCTCACTGTGTGTTTTGCTCAGTCTGACACTTATGAGAGATCACTTCTCCAAGCAGATGGAAGGTATTCTATTGGACAGTTGGTTTATTGTATATTGGACCCTGTCCCCAAACTTTGGGCAGGGACTGTATCATACATGTGTACACAGATTGCTAGAAGACATATATACATTTGAATCATCTTGTACTTAGTTCATGATCATCATTGCAATTGATACTTGTGATCAACGTTATTTGCTGCATGCTCTTCAACAGATTAAGAGTCTGACTGCTCCTGCTGTAGGATCAGTGCCTTTGCCTTGCTCACAACACTATGTGCTGCTGAGCAGTCGCAAGATGAGGTTGTGAATCGATGGTATTTCAGAGACGAGAGAGGCTGACAATGACGAGAGTGATATCCTATTGTGGTCACGAACATCCCGGCCGAGAGGCCAAGATGAACCAGACGCGTTACATCCCCCCCTCCCAAAGGATGCAGAGGACAGTTCTTATGTACATGATGATGTAGACAAAGGAAAGATGGTCATAGGTGCTGGAACGAAACTGAAATGGAGACAGGAAGAACGATACAAGCTGAGAGACGAGATCTTCGAAAAATGCTGTGGGAAAGAGCAATAAGAACAATGAGGTCAATCGAAGTTGCCGTTGGCAGGAGGTGCCGAGATATGGTCAATGACGATTTTGAGTCGATAGGCGAGATCAGGCATCGACATTGGAATGCTGCCTGCCTGGCTTGTGGACAAATTCCATTGATTCGAGGAATGGCAACAGATAGGCCTGGAGTTGTTCAATATGGCAAGTGAACTGGCACATGCTGGGTGAGGGGCTTTGAAGGACTGCACCAAGGGGAGCATGATCAGTGACAACTGTGATCTTGATGGCACCCTCAAGGAAATGTTGGAAGGAGTGAATGGCCCACTCCAAGCAGGAGATTTCGAGCTTGAGGCCAAGGAGTTTTGAGTTTGCTGGGGATGTCATGGTGGAAATGAAGGCAATTGGGTGTTCAGACAGAGAAGAGTCGAGTGTGTGGGTGAGTGCTGCTGGCGTCGACCCTTGTTTGTGGTGCCAGTTGTCATGGGACTAGATGGATGCACAGGAAGAACAGAACTCATATGAAGAGATCTGGTGCAACCATCATGGATTGGGCAAAAGTAGAGTTCCAACAGAGTTCAGTGAGATTGGTAGGAACAATGGCTCTATGACATAACTCATTGTGATTGGTAGGAGCATGGGTCTTGTTACAGGAGTAGAACCAGCAGGAAAGTAGAGTTCTGACAGGGATCAGTGAGATCAGTAGAATCAATGACTCTATGACATAACTTGTCATGGTTGGTAGGGACACAGGTCCTATTACAGGAGTCAGTGGAATCAGCAGGATCACACTTGCTACAACAGGCCTCATGGGAATTGGTTCAAGAGAAACCTCTATTGCCAATACAGCAAGGGGATGACAGAGAACAAGGGCAGAGTTGCCACCATATGAAGCAGGGACCTTGCACAATGATGAAGTTGGTGCAGGCCGATGGGTGCTGGCAACAGGAGGGAGATGTAGGGGTGCAGGTTGCCACTCAGATGAAGTGGGAACAGCCCCTGATGATGGTGAAGTAGCACAAGGGCCATCCATCCACAGGAAGAGAGGAAGGCAGTGCCAACGAGCAGCAGCCCAACGTGGATGGAAAATGGTAGGAAGGATGAGGAGGAGACATAGGGTTGAGGGGGCCTCACAGAACAGGAGCAGTGTCATGTCACAGGGTCAGTGGATCAACATATGAAGTGTGTGCCAAATTGATCTGTGGCAATCATCAGGAATCAATGATCTAATTGGGTTGGTAGCACATATGACTTGTGAGATCAACCAAACTCTGGGATCCTGGTTAATCTCACAAGGATTGATCAGAATCAGCCTGATTGGCATGTCTCAGCAAGTCAGCTGTCATGAGCAAGCATCAGGAGATTCAGGAAGGAGGATACTGGCATTAGAAGGAGAAGCATACAGGAGATAACCACATGCAGGAGTGGGGACCAAGCTCAGCATCATGTGGATGGTTACCACTCAAGGGGTATGTGCATACAGCCATGTAGGACCAAGCACAGAGGTGACCACATGATCAAGGGGGCTTGGCAACAGGGCTCAACAGGTGGTTAAGGGATTCACAAGATAAGGTCAAGAAGGAAGTTGCTGGTGAGGAAAGAAGGAGCTGTGTCAAGTAGACCAGGGATTGTCTATGAGGAGGAGGAGCTGTGTCGAAGGGGTCAACACACATCACCAGGCAAAGAAGAGCATGTGTCATGGGCCTGAATGCTCAGGAAGCAGGAGGGTCACTGGTTCATATGGAAGGAGCACAGGTATCGAAGATCTAGTCAATACCAGTATAGAGCATGGTCGTAGTGCAGTCTCCATGGAGACCATGGACCCCTATGGAATCACATGCAAAGGAGGACTGAGCCCATATGCAAGGAGGGCCAGGCACAGCCACGAAGGGGACCAAGCTCAAGGAGCATGCAGATGGTTACCACTCAGGGGCTCGAGAGACAAGAGTCAAAGGAACCGTCACCAGTCAAAGGAGAAGGAGCAGTGTATAGGGAACTGGCAAGCAGGTCCTGAGGAGAAGGAGCAGTGATGAAGGAGTCGACACCAGGTCCTGAGGAGGAGGAGCAGTGTCGAAGGAGTCGACACCACTCAGGAGGTGTCATGGGCCTGGATGCTCAAGAAGCAGGAGGGTCACGGGTTCATATGGAAGGAGCACAGGTATCGAAGATCTAGTCGATACCAGTAGAGAGCATGGTCGTAGTGCAGTCTCCATGGAGACCATGGACTCCTACAGACTCACATGCAAAGGAGGACCGAGCCATATGTGAGGAGGGCCAGGCACAGCCATGAGGAGGACCAAGCTCAAGGAGCAGGCACAGCCATGAAGAGGACCAAGCTCAAGGAGCATGCAGATGGTTACCACTCAGGGGCTCAAGAGACAAGAGTCAAAGGAACTGTCACTGGTCAAAGGAGAAGGAGCAATGTATAGGGAACTGGCAAGCAGGTCCTGAGGAGGAGGAGCAGTGTCGAAGGAGTCGACACCACTCAGGAGGCACAAGAGTGCCAAGCAAGCAGGATAGCAAGGAAGAGGAGCAGTGTCAACAAGAGGCACAGGGGTACCAAGCAAGCAGGAGAGGCCCCCTGAGCAGTACTCGATGAAGAAGGTACTCTCTGGAGAGAGAGCAGGAGCAGCATCGCTGGCGATGCTGTGAAGAGGTATATAACCATGCTTTCTCATCATCATAGGTCGAGTGGATCCTCATCCACTCTACTCACCATACAACTAGTCAATACTTTAGAAACATAAGTACTCATTAGTTACAGTCAGCATAGCAGCAATCTATCAGGGTTGCTCCTCATCGTAGTGTGTGTGTTGTATCACCACTACCTGATGTCCATAGGTGCCCCATAGCAGGTTAGTGGTCCGGATATAGATAGAACCGAAGGCAGTAGTCCACTGTGGTCCAGGGATCACTTCAAGCATCGAAGTCAACACACTGGACACTCGTGTTGACACCACCAACCTAATCACCAACACCATCAACCTCATTATCATCAACACTCACCAACCTTATCACCAACCCCATCAACCTCATCATCATCAACACTCACACCAGACCTTGGTGTCATCATAACCGAAGCATTGATATTGATTGTGCTGAGCTACCCCTGAACAGAGTGTCCACAGAGGTCAGCCGAAACCTATGATAGTATATACAATGAATGCCACCTGCTGTCATTGCGCAACTTGATAGTCACCAATACTGAGACAATAGCTGTCGCACAGTTTGATAGTCACCGAGTATCTCGACAGACCGACCTGGGTTTCAGGCGCGTGACCCCTGACACTACCTCTGTACAGAGTGTCAACAGTGGTCAGTTGAAACCTGCAATAGCAAACACACTACTACATCTTTGGGTGAGAAAAGTCATAGAGGCTTCTCTATGACATACCTCGACAAGAACAGTAATAGAGAGCACTCTACCACATATCTTGACAGGATCTGTAATAGACACATTTCTATTACAGGTATCAGGTTTCTGGTGCGAGAAAATCTGCTGTAGAAGCCTTCTATTACTGTTCCTGCCAGAATCTGCTGTAGAAGCCTTCTATACTCCTTTTTGCTCAAATAGCCTGTAATTGAGAGTTATCACAAAGTCCAACTAACTGCCATGGACACTCCATTCAGAGGTAGCTCAGCATGATCAATGTCCAATAGTTTGCCTTTTTGGATAACACCAAGGTCTTGTGTGGATGAGTTTGTTGTCAGGGGTCTTGTGCCTGAAACCTGATATCTGTAGTAGAAACATGTCTACTACAGATCTTATCGAGTTATGTGGTAAAAGGTCAGGAATGGAGCGGTGTCGCTATTTGGCGGCATGCTCCATAAACTGTCCCACAATAAAAAAAAATCTCGGCTCTTCTTCAAAGCACAATTTTCGCATGTAATGTCAATATCAATTACACAGTTTGGAGAGAAGAAGCAGGGCTTTCAGATGATATCAGACAGTGTGGCAATCAGACATATGGCTATTGAGCATTGGAGTGATGTGTGGTGACATGTAAAATCGTGGGACAGTTTACGCGCGAGCTGTATACTGTTCATTGTCGTGTGCTTGGTTTTTATGTGACATCACAATCACAATTTGTGATCAACACTATTTGCTGCACGCCGTACAACAGGAATTGGCCTCACTTGGGGTCGGTGGATTAGATGTGGCGTATGTGTGTGTGTGTGTGTTGCACTAAGAAGAGAGAGGCTCCTTCTCCCATCGACCAAGCTTCACCGAGCTCGACCGAAACCCACCAAGGCTTGGACACAGATATACTTGGCGAAGGGTTGCTAGTTGAAAGGGGTCTAAGCGACTTTTTGCGAGGGGCCGATGCTCTGTATCGATGGCTCGATGTTGGAGCATTCAAGCAAGGAGGGAGCTCTGTTTTTACTGTGGTGCGTTGCGAAGCTCTGATGCAGCGGCACCTATGGATTTTGCAACTCAGAGCATCTTGCGCTGCTTCGACCCCGCGTGCCAACAGAGCTTCCTTAAGGATTTGCAGAGTCTTTGATTCTGATTTGTTGCTGCTCCTGTGATGCTGTGACAACCGCTCTCTGGAACTCCGGAAAGCCGTCCACACACGCGCAGACGCACTTTTTCTTTTTCTTTTTCTTTTTTTTTTTTTTTTTTTTTTTTTTTTTTCTTTTTTTCTTTTTTCTTTTTTCTTTTTCTTTTTCTTTTTCTTTTTCTTTTTCTTTTTCTTTTTCTTTTTCTTTTTCGCTCGATTACGCTCTAATCACACTTGGTTGCCTTGCCAAGAACCGGAACAGAGAGACCCTGAGCATTGCCAATCACATCCTGATCACTCTTCACCCCTCGTTCAGCGTTCCCAAATCTCAATTGCATCCTTCGTAACCACCATTGTTATCGCCATTGTCGTCACCCACCATCCACAAAGCTCAGTCGAATGGCCCGGCAAAGCTCATCATACCCACACCTCTGCCAAACGCTGATTTCGAATTTGTCCGCTTCAACACAGAGCAGCATACCCACTGGCAAGTTTGCCTTTGTTCATCTGCAATCACGATCCGCACGGCAGCTCTCTCTTCCTCTCTCCCTTTCTTCCTCTGACCGGCTTCTTGCCAGCTCGATTCGCCGTGTCGCAAAGCCGGCTCAAGTCGGACGTGTGTCAAAGGCATCATCACAACTTCCGACAGATACAGACGTCTCTGCTAGTTGACACGATCCAACAGCCATTGCGCCCGTCCCTCTCTCTTCTTCTCACTTGTCTCGACCACACCGACGGGACAACTTGCCGACAACAGCTTCGAGCCAAACCGCTCCGACATCATCCCTACATCGTGCCCATCACACTGCGGCCTCATCTGCAGCTTTCATCCTAGCGACGATACCCTTACCCTGCTGCGTCAATGCTCACCGCCCTCGAATCTTTCGACCGTATCGCACTTCTCTCCCCCGATCTCAGCCACCTGTGAGCGTGCTACATTTCGACATTCGCTCTTTCCACCTGCTCCATCCAACTCGTGTTCAAAAAATCACGCCTTATCGCATCTTTGTCATCAAAAAGAGTACCTGCGCGCTCAGGCCGCTCTTCTGATAACCTCCTCGCCATGGCGTCGACTTCGACTGCCACTGCCGCTTACGGCAACGATCTGGCACATGCACAACAACATTCCTCACAAGTCCCTTCAACTTACCCTTCGCGCACCGACGATACTGCTCTCAGCACAGCCGATGACTCGGACGATCCCCCATCCTTCTTTGTTCGCGCGCTCTACGACTTTGAGTCCAACGATGCCAGCTCGCTCTCCTTCCAGAAAGGCGCTCTCATCGAGGTCCTCACTCAGCTCGAATCAGGCTGGTGGGATGGCCTTCTCGACAATCAGGTCCGAGGCTGGTTTCCATCGAATTACGTGGAGCCTATTTCGGATCAGGAGGTTCAAGTGGAGCTCATGGCTCGTGCTCAAATCCATCCCAGCTACAGCTTAGGCCTCAGCTCACAACCTTCCACCGAATCCGACTCTTTCTCTCGCCTCGCTTTCGGTGCCGGCTTCGATGGTCTCCAAGCACTCATCAAGGGCGATGGCATTGGCAATAGTGATGCTTTCAGCCAGCTCGCGGAAGCAGCAATGCTCGACCCGAGGAGACGCATGTTCGATCTTGCAAGCCCAAAACTCGCCGACAACGCCGCCATGCACCAGTCCGATGCATCACCTTACCGACCTGCTCCAGCAGGCTCTGGTCAATCTGGCCTTCCAGGCTACTCGCATTCCAACTCCTACTCTCTCTCTGCCGACCAGCTTGCCATCGAGCGCGAAAGGGCCAGAGCCGCTTCTGTATCCAACCCGCTAGCAGGCAGCTCCGCCGCATCTCCCTCTCTCGCTGCAGCTGCTGCTGCTGCCACTGCAAGGCCCAGGGCTGCAACCGGCTCGCAGGCCAACTTGGCCGGCGGAGACACATGGGTTCAGAAGACATCTCAACGTGGCCAAACCGTATTCTATAACACAAGAACAGGGGCAACCTCATCACAGCTGCCTCCAGGCGGATCTGTTGCGCAATCAGAAATGGCAGAGTCCTCGTCGAGCAGATCCCACACGCAAACGATGCTTCGCGGCGTATCTTCAGGACAAAACAGCGCTATTGATTCTCGCAAGGATCTGCAAGGCTCCAGTCTTCGACCCGATCGTAGTAGACCGAACTCGCTTGCGACCAGCGCAGAGTCACACCCCTCTTCCACCAACAGCAGCAGCACCGCCATCTTCCACAACGGCACTGCTCCAGTTCGAGCGCCTAGCAGCAATACCGCCGATCGCATGCCGGATCCCAACTCAGTGCCCAAACCATGGAAGCTACGCCTCACAGACGATGAGAAGTACTTCTTCTATGTCCATCGCTCTTCTCAGGAGATTCGCTGGAATTATCAAGATGCCAAGACCAAGCTCACCATTCTCTCCAATATCACCCCTCGCAGTCGGTCGCCACGGCAATCGGCTGGCCCAGCAGCCACAGCGAGCCAACACAGTAAAGGCGCTTCCAGCTTGGGTGCTGAACTCAACCTTGCTCGGGACGTCTCGGCTCTCAATCTCGATTCGGATGAGTCCGACTTGGACGGTGATGTGAACCCTCGACTGCCAGGCAAGCCGCCAAAGAGGTACTCCGATGCAACACGCAACGGTGGTTCGGCGACGAGTCTTGCTGCCTTTGCTCACCACCCAGTGCTGTCGCCTCCCAAGATTGCGCCTGCCACTCTGCTCCATGAAGAGACAGCTGCTTACGAGCTGCAGAAGGCGCTGACACCAGCCCAAGTCCGACCCGTCAGCTTATTGGTTCGTCGCGCCAATGAACATATCCGTCAATTGGCAGCCATTGCTACCGAGCAGATCGGCACCAATGGCTTGACAGAGTCAGATGCATCGATTTGGAGCTTTGCAAGCGGAGGCGTCTACCTTCCAAGATTGGCTCACACCACCGCCAGTGTGGTGGCTGCCATCAGAGAGGTGCTGTACGCAACTGGCTCTCTCTCGCTCTCCATCAACGATCTGGCTTCCATCTCCAATCTTGTCTCACCACACGCAGCAGTAGTGGATGCCATCAGGAACCTTCCAGATTCGTCAAGCGGCGTGAAGGACTTGAATCTCAACCTGTACTCGAAGATACTACACACGCTATACACATCCTCGCAAGGTTCTGCAGACACTGCTTCGCTCCACCTGTTCGGCGCCAACCCCAAAGACTCGGTTGCTCCCATTCCTGGCAGCCTTTATCCCATCGGACGCAAGCTCAACGCTGTTGTGTCCAAGCTCGTGCTCTCTTCACGTCAAGTCATAGACCATACCGTCACCCTAGCTTCGTCGCCCACCTCTGGCATGGAGAGCACGATGACCGAACTTGATGCAGATGTCTTTTCCAAGCTTTATCAGTGTCGACAGCGCTTGCGCGAAGATGCGCTCGAGCTCACGCGCACTTTGCAGAGCCTGAGCTCAGAAGCTGAGAAGTCGAGAAGCACTGCACTAGGTGCAGCGCACAGCCGCGGATGGTTGCGTCGAGTTGAGGGTAGTCTGGAAAGTGATCTTGGTCTCAATGGCGTCGGTCCAACATCTTTCGGCAGTGGTATGGCTGCCGGATGGTTGGGCAACGGCTTTGTATTGCCCTCCAAGTACGAGGTCAACCTGATCAAGGCGGAGCAAAAGGGATCGAAGAGTAACAACCCGTTCGACCAACGTCGAGATGCCGAGTCCGCCGTGGTTCGAGGTCTGCTCACCTTGCGCCGTATCCCAGAGCAGCGCCTCGACCAGCAAATACTGAAGCAGCTCCAGTACTTCGCTTCTCGCCTTGATACTGTCCAACAAGCGCTTGCAATTGGCAAGACGGGCAGCCCTGCTGCAACAAAGTCTGCTTCGGCCTTGCTGTCCCACTACGGCGCTCTCGAGGCTCTGATTGAGAGCATCGATCTCGCTTCTGGCCTCGATGTCGATGGGCCGAACACTAAGGAAAGCAAGTTGACTCCGATCAACGAGCGCAATGCCGCAAACGCTGCCAAGGCGCGCGATTTAATGCGGCGATTCGTGGCGCTTAAGCAGGCTGCTTACGATGCCTCTTGCGCCCTCTTCATTGCGGTCCAAGAGCAGAGCTCTTCAGCATCGAGCGCAATCGTGGCGCAGAAACAGGCTGTCAAACTCGTCAAGGTGACCTCAGCCGTGGTCCGAACACTTGAGGACCTCGCCAAGGTCGCGGAAGAGCAACTCCGAAATGCGTCCCCCTTCCTCGGTGCGCGTGCCTCGGTGTACGGATCCGAAGACGGCGTCACTATGCCTTCCACTGGCGTCTTCTCTCGCAAAGTCAACACCTCCAGCAACGGTCTGCACGAAGAAGTGGGAGAGCTTGCACGATACGACAGGAGCAATGGAGAAGAAGCAGAGGAGGAAGCCGAGTTCATGTACCTCGGTCCTGGCATCGCTGTGCCCAACGGGCCTAGAGCGAGGTCAGGTAGTCGAGCTACGACAGCTTCGACGACCAACTCTCCCGTCACTAGTCTGGCACCTGGCCGTGTCGGCTCCAATCAGGCCAGCAGCTACCGTCAGCGATCCACTTCCGTCACTACTGGAGGAGGATCCGTCCGATCCATGCAATCGTACACTGATGCATCGAGCAGAGTTCTCAGCCGCAGAGGCACTCTGGTCGATGGCCAAGCTGCTGAGAGCATCGACGAGGACGGCGAGTCTGTACGCACTGGCAGTGGAAAGCTACGCAGGCTGTTGGGTGACGACGCACCTTTGTCGCACACCATGACTCAGGACAGCGAGAACAGCGTCAACACTGCCAACACCATGTCGACCACTGCTCGGCGCAAAGAGGACGAGGTGCCGTGGTTCTTAGAACCCGACTACATGGGCGATGACATTGTCATTGCTCAGGATGGTTCGGTGAAGGCTGCTACTCTCGAAGCACTGTTGGCGCGTCTGACGATGCACAACTCGTTCGATGCTTCCTTCAACAACACATTCTTGATGACCTACCGATCTTTTACGACGACACAGACGTTGCTTGACTTACTGGCCCAGCGATTCCGCATTCTTCCGCCCGAGGGTCTCAACGAGGAAGAGCTAACGCTGTGGACGGAAAAGAAGCAGATTCCGATCCGACTGCGTGTCTTTAATGTCCTCAAGATGTGGCTCGAGATGCATTTCTACGAAGGCGAAGACGAGCCCTACCTCGACCAAGTCCGCCGTTTTGCAGTCGAAGAGATGGGCGAGGCTGCTTCGATGAAGGCTCCCTCTCAGCACTTGCAGAGGTTGGTGGAACGAAGACAAGGTGATGGAGAGCAAATGGTTCGCAAGATGGTCTTGCCTACCTCAGTGCCTGCTCCGATTTTGCCGAAAAACATGAAAAAGCTCAAGTTCCTGGAGATTGACCCGTTGGAGATTGCTCGACAGCTCACACTTATAGAAAGCCGACTCTACAACAAGGTCAAACCAGCCGAATGTCTTGGCTTGAAATGGACGAAGCCAGGTAATGATGTTCATGCGAAGGGCATTATGGAGAGCATCAACACTCACAATCGAATCTCTGCTTGGGTTGCAGAAACCATCTTGCAGCAAGAAGATCTCAAGAAACGTTCTGCGTTGATCAAGCACTTCATCAGCATCGCGGATCGTTGTAGAGGCTTGAACAACTTCTCGGGCATGTGGGCTATCGTTTCTGCCCTTTCGACAGCACCGGTGCATAGGTTGAGAAGGACGTGGGATGCGGTTTCCCAAAAGCATGTTCTCGTCTTCGAGTCGTTGGAGAACCTCATGTCTGCAAGCCGCAACTGGGCCAACTACAGAGAGACGATACACAAACTCAATCCTCCTTGCGTTCCTTTCTTGGGTCGATACCTCGGAGATCTTACCTTTATCGAAGACGGGAATCGCGACAGACTAAAGGAGAACGACAAGCTGATCAACTTTGGCAAACGACAAAAGACAGCGGAGGTCATTCGAGAGATCACGATTCATCAATCTACTCCGTACAACTTGGCAGTAGTGCCGGCGTTGGAGAAGTGGATCGAGAGCAATTTGGTGGATGCAAGATCGGCGGATGATTTGTACGAACAGAGTCTGGCACTGGAGCCGAGAGAGAGGGAGGATGAGAAGATTGCACGATTGTTGCAGGAAAGTGGATTCTTGTAGACTTCTCCCGTTGGGAGAAGAGGATCATCAGACATGGAGCAATGCAAAACTTTGCACACTCAGACACAGACCTTGGAACTGATTGAGATGATGCGAGCTTGAACAACAGATTGTCTTGTGATCGCAAGCGTAAGAACGAGACATTGAAGTGAGATCATCGCCTTCGGCCAGACCCTCCTTCTTCCCTGCGACCACCGACTCGCTTGGCCTTAGCAGAAGCATTTATCTCCTCGACCTCCTGTGTGGTAGGGAACCCAATGTTCCAGTAGCCATCTGGCGTAGTCGCCCTCTGGAACGTCGTACGATGTCTTGAGCACGCTGTTCTTTCCCTATTACCCAAACCTTCCCCATTTGTGTTGAGATGGGAGTAGAATAAAGAGCAATCTGGACAATCGTGTGCTAGCATTGCGCGTCGTTGTAGAGGGTTTCGAATCGGAGTCGAGTCGACATACCCTACTTCGTCACGAGTGGTGTTGGTCGTGGGAGGCACGGGCTGAGCGCGAGGGAGAGTGGTGGGGCGGGGAATGATGGTTCGAATAAGTGGACTAAGTTTGTCGTTGCGAGTGTGCGGTTGCGCTGAAGCAGAAGGTGCAGCAGCAGTGGGAGCGGTAGTGGTAGGCGTACTGGCTGTCGCTACAGCCGCGTTTGAGGGTGGATGAGCGTGCAACGGGAGAGTAACTTCGCTCTGTTGGCCTGCACTTTCGCCCATATCCCCCTGCTCACCCTGATCTACTCTCCTTGGCCCAGCACTAGCTTTCTCTTCCCCTTGCGCTCTCTCTGCTTCGCCTCCAACGGCATTGTCGGGGGGTATAATTCCAGCTCGAACCCAAACCCCCCTCGTCGTAGCATCTAGCTTTTTCACCACCGCACTTCGCCTCTCTTCCTCCACCCTACTACCTCCCTCAATCGCACCCTCAGTACTGCTACTAGCAGCGGTACAAGAGGCTGCTGCTGCTTTGCTCTTGTGCTTCTTGCGATGTCTTTTATCCTTTTGCGCCAAACTAGCCAACCACCAAGACTTAAACTCTTTCCACGCCTGACGCTCTTTTTCGTGCCTCACCCTCTCCTGTTCGAGTTCCTGGACCTTTTCTTGTAGCTGGTGGCACTTGGAGCATGTAACCTCCTTTACTACCTCCTCTCCTCCACTATGAGAGGAAGTGAGGGAGCTGTTCTGAGGTGGAGCGGCGACTTCTGTCAAAGCACTTCGCGAGGTTGGTGGGAGGGTCTGTAAGAGAGACTTGATTCGTGCGGCTGAAGTACGTAGCTCAGAGAGCGACAGTTCGAGTTGTTGACGTGTATCAGAACTCATCGAGCCCGAAGGGTTCATAGGCTGTGGTGAGGGCAGACTGTCTTCGAAGATCGGTGCGAACGGACGTCGTGGTGTTGATGTCGATGGGTGGTGTGTCGATGCTGGCGAGACAGAGGAGGAAGAGGGAGATGCGTAGGCATCCCGCTTTCGTTTGGGTGGGGACGCCATACTGAGCAGCTCCGATTGGGATGCTGGAGACTGGAAGCTGAAGTGGCGAGGAGGGGCTCAGATGGAACGAAGAGAACGGTCAGGAGATAAGGATGAGGCGTAGAGTGTGATGGAGAAAGTGTGACTTTGAGAGATTTTAGAGCTGCAGGGCCTTTTGCCTCCACACCAACACTCAGCAAGACGCGCACTACAGCCCTGTAAATGATGTTCGCGTTGCTCAGCTAAATTCACCCACACACTGTTGCAATGTGAAGAAGTTTTGTCCCGATAACTGACGATCGGGAAAAGTCTGAGTACGATGTCACTACTGTTTTAGGGCAGAAACATATATACTCGATTGACTGAAGAACGTGGTGGGAGCCTCGAGCTCCGCGCTTGATATGTATACAAAGTGTCGGCATATGCCAAAGGTGGGAGCATTCCACTTAATGACGATGTGTGTCAACGAGCGGGACTAAGTTGTACCCGATCTCTTTCGTGTCGGCTTATGTCAACTCGCATCATCATACTGGATCGTTTCCTTCAGCATAAACAAGCTCTCAGCTGCCTTCAACCTCACACAAGAGTGGACACACACACACACAACTCACACCTCTGCTCTCATGTCAATGGTATTGCTGCTTGAGCCTCAGTCACAAGCCAATGCGCTGTCTCCTTAAGGATGATCCTCTGCTACTGAGCCCACCCCATCCCATCACTAATTTTCATCGCCAACGCTCTCTTCATAAACTGTTCCCTAGCCAACATTCTAGTCTGCTTTAAGAAGCGATCCAAATCAATCCTCTCCGCATTCAACGCTCTACCCAAATGATACAAGGTATCTTCAATCGCGTTATCCTCCGCTACTAGATCCACCAGCTGATTACCCACTATACTCGTCGCTAAGACCATGCTGTCCGGATCTGGCTCCTCTCTGGCCTGTAGATTGCGAATGCTTTCGCTGATTTCGTTCACGGAAATAGAAAGTCGATCGCCAGTGGTTTGACAGACATCGCGGACTGCTCGAAGACGCGACATTTCATCTTCGATCGCTGGTAAACCGCGGTCCAAGTCGGTCGAGAGTAGCTCGAGACGCGAATTGGTGAAGGAGAGGGTGTTGGATAGGGTGGACAGACGGCTGGTGAGTTTGTTGTAGACGCGGTCGTGAAGGGCTAGTAGCTCAGGGTTGATGGGACGAGGGGGTGGTGGCACTGGGCCTGAAGCTGAGGTGAGGGTGGGTGGGGTAGAGGAGCTGGAGGCGTCATCTTCGTCGAGTAGATTGATGCCTTTGGGTTTGGGGGCCGTGATGGGGCCTGGTGGTGGAGGATTGAGGTAGCCGTTGGAGCTACCGTGTGCGGATGGGGGTGCTGGACTACCTCCGTGCGGAAGCGGAGAGTTCTGATACGGATGCGGTCCGGAAACGGGCGGTGGAGGAGCACCGTTTTGGGACGGAGGCTGCTGCTGTTGGGCGCCGTTGTAGCCTGAATTTGGCCCCCCTTGATGATACTGCTGATCTGCTCCCGGGTAAGGGTACGTTTGCGCTCGGTGTTGCGGATGTTGTTGGTGCTGAGGATACTGCTGCGAGCCTTGGCGTTGATGATGCGGATGGCTATTTGCGTGCGGCTGCCACTGAGACACTGGGTTGGGAGACTGTGGCACGGCTACAGGTGATACTGGGTACTGCTCTTGAGGCGGTGTAGCATTTTGCTGAGGATGATACGCCGAACCCCCCAAACCTGCCCCTGAATATCGTCGGTATGCTTCATCTGGGAATTGCTGTGGCGTTGCAGGCTGCTGAGGTGACTGCATATGCATGCCATCTCGCATCAGCAATGGCGCTGGACCGCTAGACGGTTCCATGTGGGACATCGAGTTTAGTGGGCTGGGAGTGTAGTTACTATCAGGTCCAAGGGAGGAAGAAGGCTTTGGTGGGCGATGGGGGGGATGTTGAACCTGCGCTGGATCGTGATAGCCGGATGGACCGGGCGTAGGTGCTGGTGCAGGTGGTGGTGGCTTCTGTCGTGGATCGTGAGCGCCGCGGAAGGATGGGCCTGCTGTGGTCTGAGGTGATCTAGGCGAAGCTGACAGTGGCGGCGGACCGGCAGGCTGTGCGAAAGTGTTTGACGAGCTAGCCTGCTGCGGTGTAGATGTCTGCGAGCGTTGCTGTGATGAAGCGGCTATAGCATACACCGCTGTAGGCTTTGGTTTGGCATAAACAGGCGGCTCCTTTCCGAACATATGCTGGCAGTCGTGAATCAAGTCGAGCAGGTTGCAGGCTTCTGGTTTGCTTCTCCATCTTGCGAGATAATCGCCTCCGATTTCACCACTCGGGTCGACATTCGGACCTTTGCGGATGGCCATATCAGGCGTTGGTGCTACGAAGGCCATCGGTGGTTCCCGTGGGTAACCTCGTGGAATCCAGTAAGCTACAGGGATGTTGTATGTCGAGTTGCGGAACTCGACCGGGATGGTACCCTCGAGGTTGAGTAGAAGTTGTGTCCGACCATCGTTGAAGGTAAACACCTCCGTCTTGGGTGACAGCGACGAGACGGCGATCAGCGCTCGGTCGACGTCGGCGAAGACACGATCGCGTTCGGTGTATGGGCCGAGGACGCTGCGAAGCCATTTTTGCACCACGGCATGGTCCATGGCGGGAAATCCAGATTGCCTTCAGCAGCTGTTGCTCCGGAACAATGAAGTAAAGCGAGGCAAGGTGAGGTGAACAGCCAATAAGTGGATCTCGGCAACGTCGTGATAGAAAGCAACTCCTAGATACAAATGAATGCTGCTTGTTGTGGCCCGTTCGCTTGCTTTGAGCCAGGAACCCACGCGTTATTTGAGACCGAGATTGTGGAGAGAAATACTGTATTCATGTCAATGGACCGATGTCCTGGAAGGATCGGGCATCTGAGAGCCAACGATCTTCGATTTGCATTAGCGCCGAAGCGAAAATCGGTGGCTGAGGTGATCCGAGGAAGAAAGCCATAATTCTCCACATGACAAGTGGAGCAAGATTTTCGATAACTGTTGGCCTTGTCATAGTGCACCCTTCTCCCTCTGCACCACTTTCCACCACTTGGTCAAGAATCTTTTGAGGTATAGACCGCAACGATGAAGGCGGCATCCCGATCGCTTTCGCACGCTGGCAACGCTGTCCGTTCAGCGTCGTCGGTCCGACCTCTCTCAACACCACTCTTGCAAGCAAATCACAGAGCGACGACGACAACCAGCATCAACCTTGCTTCCATACAGACACGCAAACTGTTCGGCTTCTCTCTCTTCGGCGGCAAGAAGGACAAGAAGAACGACCCCTTTGCACTTCCACCTCGCGCTGCTAAGAAGCCTCTATTGGCACAAAATGATCTCTTTCACCCCTTTTCGAAGTCGCCCATCCCTTCGATCCGAGCAAGGGGTGAACGCATTCGCTCATTAGCTCCCTGCCCTGTCAGCATGTCCAAGCACAAAGTTCGACGACTCGTAAACTTTGAATGCCCGGACTGTGGTTGGCCCACGCATTACAGCGAGAAGGAATGGGCCGAGGACACAGAGCATGGCAAGTACGTTGCCCGTCTCCGCGAAGCCAACGAGGACGAGCACGATCTTCGCAGTGGACGAGAAATGTCCGAATTCAAGCTACCCGGACCACAAGGTTTCGAGGAGACTATCAACATGTCCAATTGGGACGTCTTCTTCTACACGCGAAACTTCAACTCGATAGAATCCGATCGCAGCCGAAGACACCTTTCCAAGCTTCTTACTTTCCCCACCACCATGGGTGCCGTCATTCATGAGAACAGCCCCTACACCAAAAAGTCGCGCCGGCTGACGCACGAAGGTCTACGAAGCATGATTGCTCTCCGTCAAACGCTGCACCCCAAGGAAGGCGCAAAGCCATCTCTGGACAAGATAAGGATCTTTGTCGTTGGTGCACGTGCCGAGTCTACTTTGCCACCTGCTGTGTGGGATCAATTGACGTATATGTTCCCCGGTGTTCCTTTCCATCTCTTCCTGATTGGACCTGAGGCGCATATCCCAACCGACAAGCAGGTTCAGATGCAGCAGGAGCGTGCTGGGCCAGGATCGGGTGGTATTTCGATGCACAAGGGTCGTGTTCGCAAGTCCAACTACGGCGTTCCCTCGCGTACTGTGGTTGTCTCTGAGGGTTTGACGATCACAACGATTCAGTCCAAGTACGAGGATGTCCATGCGCAGTTGGAACCATTCGATGCGTACACAGATGTCTTCTTTGCTTTCAGCCCAGGATTCGGGTTCCCTTCGCAGATCGCTGTCGAGGAAGCAGACAAAACAAGGCAGGAGGATAGGGATCACGAGGCACACTTTGCCAAGGCGAAGAGTACATACCATGCTGCTGGTGCAGAGGGTGCAGAGTCGACCGAAGCTTCAGCGCAAAAGGCCGCTGATGACGCTGTCGAGCTTGCAAAGGCACAGATTGCTGAGCAGCAGCAGCGCCTTGATGGCTCAAGTCCTGCTGTCTCCACGGTCCCACCGAGCAGAGCTGCTTACACTGTCGACGCCTCCGTATCTCCCGAAGGTGGTGAGATTCCGTCTCAGGAGCCTGCGCCGGTGCTCACTTCGCCAGACGGTCACACGTTCACTGCGCTTACTGCGGCTCCTGTGGTTCAGGCACAGCGAGAGTGGGCTCGTGCCATCGGTCAGATCCTCTCAACACGATGTGCGCTCGTTGCCACTGGCTTCTCTCCAGCTGATGTAGAGCGAGATGTATTGGCGTTCGAGAGTGTCGATGGTGTTAGGGGCGAGTTCGACTGGCTAATCACACCCGGTGAGAACGTGTTTGCATCGCAACAGTGGGCAGTGGCTGACTTTGACCCACGTGTTGCAGTGAAAGCCAATTGGGGCATCTGGGCAGTAAGAGGGAAGCGATACGATATCCAAGGCCCTACAGGATACTAAGCTGAACCAAAGAATGCAATCGTAATTCTCTTACTAAGGATGTCTTGGTTTTGTGTGTTCTATTTCCTGTGACTGTCTATGTGTGGGATACGCTAGAATGAACCCTCCTTGATCCGCTCCCAATACCATCTAGTCATCTCTTCCAGCCCCGCCTGGAGCTTCCATGTTGGATACCAGTCCAATAAGCTCGTCGCTCGTGTGATGTCCGGTTTGCGTTGTTTTGGGTCATCTTTTGGGATTGCAAAGAATCGGATCTCTGAATTGGCATTCTGCTCTTCCTCTTCTGCCACAGTAGCCTGTGAATCCTGTCGATCTTGAGCTTTTACCTTGGCCACGCATTTCTGAACTAGATGAACGAGTTCCATGATGGTGAACTCGGCTGGGTTGCCGAGGTTGACAGGTGTGTGAACGTCATGTTTGTGCGCATTGGTGTGGAAGTAGTTGTCGGCGGAGAATATGTTGGTGGAAGTGAGAGGAGCAGGAGTGGAAACGGCCAAAGTGGAAGGGACGATAGTGTCGGGTGCATCGGTCATTATCTCTGCTGCAAGAGATTGCGTTTTGGCCATGGCTGGTGCGAGTGCTTGCGTTTGTGCTTGCGAGTGATGTGGATCTTGGGGCTGGGCAGGTTCGGCGTTCATAAGCGATATCAATCCGTCAATGAGGTCATGGATGAACATGAAGCTACGTGTCTGTGATCCGTCACCGAAGACCGTCAAAGGCTCTCCGCGCAAAGCTTGCTGGATTAGATTACTGACCACTCTTCCATCGTGCGGATGCATGCGGGGACCAAAGGTATTGAAGATGCGAGCCACTCTTACATCTACTCCGTCCTGATAGTAGTACCCGTATGTCAAAGTTTCTGCGACCCTCTTGCCTTCATCGTAGCAAGCTCTCGGACCGACTGGATTGACGTTGCCATTGTACGTCTCTGGTTGCGGATGCACGTCCGGGTCGCCATAGACCTCTGATGTTGATGCGAGCAAAAATCGTGCTTTGGTACGTTTAGCCAGACCAAGCGAGTTGAGTGTGCCCATGAAGTTGGTCTTGATGGTCTTGATCTGGTTGGCTTGATACGAGATCGGACTGGCTGGGCAAGCGAGGTGATAGATCTGATCGACTTCAATGACAAGCGGCTCGACTACATCGTGTCGGATCAACTCAAAGTTGGGGTGTCCGAACCATTGCGAGACGTTGCTCTTTTGGCCGGTGAAGAAATTGTCAATCACGAGCACTTCGTGGCCCATCAGCATGAGCCGGTCGACGAGGTGTGAGCCGACGAAACCTGCGCCGCCGGTGACTAGGATCCGCTTCTTCTCTTCGACTGGCAGGAGACGTGTTGGCAAGTATCCATATGAGGACGAGGTAGAAGGAGCGCGCAAGCGACGATGCGAGTCGATGCGACCGAGACCAAGGCTGAATGACGATGCTGCAGACCCTGGTGCTGCATGGATGTAGCTCAGTTGAAGTTGTCGCGGCTGTGAAGAGGTCGAAGGTGAGGCGGATACTTCGAGCTGACTCGCTTGCGACAGCACTGGTGAAGCTGAAACTGCCTGTGCTTGGGCGAGGATGCTGACATGTGATTCCGGGTGGGCTCGGGGTACGTTCTGTGACCAGAAGGACGAGGCAGCAGATCTTGCGGTCCGAGAAGGGTTGCTTTCTGTGCGTGTGTGCGGCTGGCAGCTCGACGAAGAACCTGCAGCTACACTGCTCCTACGACCTGTGTCTTGCACAAGCTGTGGAAACGGCGATGATTCGAGCGAGACTTGCGAAGAGGCGACTAGAACACCCGATCCCAATGCGGGTCGGTAGTAGAGCGAACGGAGATGGTCCAGCGGAACGTGGTGCTCTGGCGGCGGGCCGTGATGGTTGGCAATGGCACCTCCTTCACCGGTCGCCATCTGTTCCGACGTCATCTCAACGTTCATCGCCGCGGTGCCAGTGAGGTTGTGGATGAGAGAGACAACGATCGCGAACGAAGCATTGACAGCTGCAGCCTTTGACAGGTCAGAGCACAACACAACATGACTCTTTCTCGAGCTTCGATCTGCACAGAGAAAGACAATACTGTGTAACTATCCCAAGAAAGGCGGTCGGAAAATCAAACATTAAAAATCAATTCCGAAAAGCGGTCCTGACTTGCTGCAGTGGAATGCATGCACGCCCACACCAAACGCACGCCCCGCCTCCAACTCTCCTGTGAAACGACGATCATTTCGTTCAGCCCTGCTCATTCTGACCACCACCATCACCACCATCACCACCATCATCACCACCATAGCCTGCTAGGATAACGATGGGAGACGAACAACCACCAGCAAGCACCCCGCTGAAAGCAAAAGTCAAACTCAACCCGCCTAAAGATGGTCTTCCTCCTAGCCACCATGTACTGGCTCCTTCTCCTGGCACCACCCTCTCCTCTTACCTTCCCCACTGGAACCCGAAGCCAACATCATCTTCAAAGCAGCCACATGCTAGCGCTTCACAGATGCAGGAGCAAATACACGATAATGACGACGGAACACAAAACATTACCTGCTTGCACAGCTCAATAGCTCCCGTAGACTCCAGCAAAGTTGTCCGCATCGGCTTTCGCAATCCATGGCCGAGCTGGCATAAGCCCACCGTCGCAGAAGTCTGGCAAGGCCTAGAGTGGGGAGAGGACCAAGATACAGCTATAGACTATGCCTTACAGGATGCCGACCTTGCTCGCAGCTCGGATGCTGCTCAGGACGGCGGGTCTGGCTCTGATGCTCCGTATCGCGACAGTCGACCGGCTACGCCTGACCAAGACCAAGATAAAGCCGATAGACAACTACCACCAAGCTCGTTAGTCCAAGAGAGAATTCCAGCTAATTCGTATACAAGACAACAGAAGATCAAGATGGCCTCCAAGCAGCTTCTCACCATCCAGGAACCGTCGTTCGATTTCGATGCTTCCGGCAACAAGCTCAAGGCGACCTGGCTAGGACACGCTGGTGTTCTTGTTCAGTTGCCACCGCTCAGTCAAGGCCAAGAACCCATACGAGTACTCTTCGATCCAATCTTCTCTCAGCGTTGCTCGCCCACCCAGGTTGCCGGCCCTATTCGGACGTACGCTGCACCTTGCCCCGTCTCCAGCTTGCCGCCTATCGACCTTGTGATCATCTCACACAACCATTATGATCATCTGGACTCTGACACAATCAGAGAGCTTTGGGCTGCCAACAAGGACCGAATTCGTTTCGTTGCCCCGCTAGGCAACAAGGACTGGTTTGTTGGTGCGGATACCGCTGGCGCCCATGTGACGATGGAGGACGATGCTTCCACTGCTTCGGCGTCGACTTGGTCACTGGCGCCATCCGTGACGAATGCCACCACGACATCGAACCTCGCGATCCTACCGGAAAGAGTCACCGAGCTCGATTGGTGGGATGAGGTCCATCTCACTCCGCCCGGCAGTGACAAGGCTCTGCGGGTTATCTGCACACCGGCACAGCATGGATCGGGTCGATACGGCGTAGATGCAAACTGCGCCCTATGGTCTTCTTGGTTTCTCGAACATCCTTGTTCTTCTGACTCAGAGCCAACTCGGATCTTCTTTGGTGGTGATACAGGCTGTCAATTCCACGGTCGCAACTTCCCTCCTTCCCCGCCGCGATTCCCTGAAGCTGAATCAGGAGACTTTACCTCACCATCATCTGAAACAACCTCCTTCACTGACGATGCTACCCTCTCCAGCCATCCCACCTACCGCGGAGGCATGCGTCTCCAACCAGACCCTGAAGAGGAAAGCCCATACCCAGCCTGTCCTGCTTTTGAAGAAGTCATTGCTCGATTCGGCAAACCGAACTTCCTCATGCTACCCATCTCAGTCGGTGCCACCATCTCCTTCCTTCGCTCCTACGTCCCACTTCCGGACTCCATCTCTCCCTTCCCGAGGATAAGTGCAGGATTGACAGCTGCAAACCATATGCCTCCTTGGGACGCCGTCGATGTTTTTGACAAGATGACACCCGCAGCACCAGCAGCTAACAAGAATAGGCAGCCAGAAGAAGCAGTATGTATGGCAATTCACTGGGGAACGTTCATCTCAGGACCAGAGGAAGTTTTGAAAACGCTCGGACAGCTCAAGTGGGCTTGCAAGGAGTTTGGAATTGGCTTTGCTCGGTCTGATGAGGCGCTCGCCGAAACAGGGAAGCAGAAAGGAAAAGGTGGGAAGAAGACTTTTATCGCGCTCAATCATGGTGCTAGTATCACTCTATAGACTCCAGCACAGTATCATATGACCACACTGCAGCATTGAATGTGGATCGCAAGAACATCGGTGGCTAGATTACGATACGATGTGCAAAGGAAATCACGAAAATTGGTGACAATGAATGCTTCAGTGCTTGTCAGACCCTTCGGGAGTCTCAGTCTTCATTTCAGGGTGAGAGCCTGGTGTGCCATTTGAAGCTCCTTGCTGCTGCCCATGCTGCTGGTCGATACCGTGAGAGCTCTGGGCAATGGCTTCAATCAGACCTCCCCACGGCAAGAGACCCCAATCGCCAGGAACGCCGGTTGCTGTGCCGCTTCCGTTCGCTGAAGAAGCGTCGCCTGTTCTTCCATTGCTGTCGCCACCAGCGCCACCTTGACCACCAAAGCCGTTGAAGCTTCCCGGTGTGTTGAGTGCACGCAAATGCGGGTGTGCGCTGGGCTGGAAGTTGGGGATACCGCTGCGCTCTGAGGAGGATGTGGCAGGGATGTTGATTGAGTTGGTGCTGCTACGTCCGAGCCCCGAGCCCTGTTGGGCTGACGACGATGATGGTGCATTCGCCGTCACATTCGGCGAAGGACCAGAGGAACCGGGAGGTGGCGTGTTGAAGTAGCTCGCAAGGTCGAAACCTGCTGCAGAGTCAAAGCCCATGCTGTTGGACGTGTGACTCGGCCCGAAGCCCAAAGCCGAGCCAGAGTTGAAGTTGAGCGCATCATTGGGTGTGGGGTTGAGCATGCCGAAGCTGGGTTCGTAGCCACCGAGCTGGTCGAAGATGCTCTGAGCCAGGTCGGTGGTCGCATCGCTGGTAGCACCCGTTGAGACGGTGCCGAGGGAAAGACCTGCAGCAGGAGCGCCGCTGGTGCCCGAAAAGAGACCGGCGAATGGCGGCGGTGTGATGCTTTCTGTGGTATTGACCGAGCCGGCACGCGCCAGTTGGGAGCCATTGCCCTTGGATCCAGTGTTGCCGAGCAACATGGCGGAGCTGAAGGCTGCAGTGCCGACTCCGGCTGTACCCTCGCTGGTGGTCTCACGCCTAGCTGGTGCATCCTTGCGTCCGCCCTTTGTGGATGCATCGCCCTTCTCGCCCTTGCCTTTGGATGTGGTGCCATCTGCACCCGTAGCCTTCTTGCTAGCGCCTGTCGCCGAGGTAGCACACCACGTAGGATCGCGTGCCTTGGCCCTGAAGAGCTCGATGATCTTGACCTCACGCTTACTGCACTGATCAACTTCGCCTTCACGGTGCTTGTGCAACTCAATGAACTCGTCGAGGTACGACAGGAAGTCGGGTGCTTCGGGACCGTTAGGGTCGAGAAGGAGCGCAATACCAATCATCATGGTTGCGTTGAAGAGACGGTAGAGACCACCCATGTGGACCTTGCGTGCGCGCTCGGGCTCCCATTTGACGTCCTTACGGTACTCTTGACGCACCCTGCGGTCGGCTTTGGCACTCTCGAAGGCTGCTTTGCGAGAGTGAGAGTACTTTTCCGAGTTGCGAAGCACGTAAGGTCTGTGCAGAGCAATGCGTACGTAGTGGTACTCGATGTTGAGAAGGTATCGGTGCAGTGGGAGCCAGGGGCAGACGGTATCGAACTGCTTGTTGGTGTCCGGCCCTGATCCGTTAGTGACCTTGTCGACCCGGTAGATGTCCGGGATGTCTTTTCGGAACTTTTCCAATTCTTCGTCCAATGCGACGACGTCAGCGTAGCGACGAGGGCTGGCAAGGTTCTGGAAGTGCTCAACAATCTTTCCGGTGATGCGAGTGAGTTCGTGACGAATGGCGACGAAAAGAAAAACGCCGGGCGGGGTGTTGGGACGCGGCCGGGTTCGTGGCACATAGGGACGTGCTGATCTTGGCATGGTATCGATGTCAATGTCAGAAGGTGGAAGCGTGTCGCAGTGGAACTCCTGAATGGCTTGAGGACGACCCAAGAGGATGCTGGTGGTCTTATCCATGTAGAAGATGATGGACCAGAGTCTTCGTCGGCGCTCTGTAGTGATGGCGTCGAGACCGAGCTTGCTGCCGTCTCGGTGAAGACCGATGGCTTGGGCTGCTCGAATGGCGTTGCCGAGAAGTGACCAACTTTCAGCGCTTTGACGTTGGCATATCAGGAAGCGAGCGGCGAAAAGATGCGCCAAGACGAGATCAATGTGGTCGACGCGGATGGTGGAGGCGATGTTGATAGTACGGCGACATGCATGATACAGGCGAACGGCGCCCTTCTTGGCTTCTGCTTCGCTGCCGAGGGCTTCTGGAAGTGAGCGCATGGCAGTAGCGAGGATGGCGAAGAGGAATGCAAGGAAAGGGATGTGTCTTGCACCATCGTCGCCGCGTTCCTCCTTGGCGTTGCCCCATCTGAAGTCCATGAGTTCGTCGTAGGACTGGCGGAAGGTACCCTCGTGAATGGGAAGTCGGGTGTGGTTGATATCACGGAAGTAGATATCAAGAAGGCGGTCGGTATCTGCTCTGGATGGCAACGCGTTCATGAGATCGCCAAGGATGTTTTCGGGAGCGCCACCTTCGTGGATGAGTCGATGCAATTTGACAGAGGCAGGGAATCTTGGGAAGTTGGCGCCAAGTTCGAGACGTTCGCCGTTGATCTCTGTCTCGATGACACCGCGGCTGACGGAAGGCAAAGCGAGAGCACCGAACCAACTGTCACCGTCTCGAGCGAGACCGCCTTCGAGAGGGTTGCCTCCGAGGTCGTAGCGAGGAATGTTGGCCTGTTTGGTGGAATCGACAATCTCGCCCTTGGATGCGGCGATCGCCTGTGCTTCTGAGTTGAAGAGCTCCTCTCGCTCAATACCTCTGGCAGTGCTAGGGCAGATGATTCTTCTACGTTTCTTCGACTTGGGTCGAGTGGCAGCGGAAAGGTGGTTGGAATCAGCATCTTGCTCCTCGTCACTGGAGACGATTTCGACAAAGGCAGCCATCTGCCCTCGAGAGTCCTTGAGCTCCTTTGCAAGTTCTGCATGGGCAATGGCGAGGCCCTCTACAATATCTTCGAGACGCTGCACTCGATCTCGCATGTCACCGAACTGATCGCCATCTTCAAAAGGCCGGCAAGAATCGCCAAGGCCACGGTCGATGCATGGTTGACATGGAGTTTGACGGTCACATTTGTGCTTACGACGGTGACACTCGGCGCAGCTGTAGTGGATACGTTTCCTCTTTCGTTCACGTTTGCTACCGAGAGAAGCAGCGACGGCATCGGCGACGGTGCCGTGTTGACGCGAGGCAGCTAGCTTTGCAGCAAGAGCGGCAGTAGCTGGGCGGCTAGGACCAGCGTTGGCACCTGCAGCAGCTGCTTTGGCGACTGAGGACGATGCTGAGCCTACTCCATTGTTGAATGAGCGATCGGGTGTGGCAGTGCCAGAGGGTGAGCGAGCAGGCGGAGATACGGAGCTCGATGCGCTTGCATTGTCGGTAGGGCCGAAGCTGGATGGCTGGGTGGCGCCGGGATGCGGTGCAATCGGTTTCGGCTGCATCGTGAGTTGCTTTTCAGAAGGTTACTATCGCTATGGCGTGCTTTCAGTATGGCTTACTTTCGGTATGGCGTGCTGTCGGAAGGGCCAGCAACGCTAGCTTGGGTCGAGACTTGCAATTTTACTGACGAGCAAGACGGAAGCTTGCCGATGTGTGACCGGTCAATTCGGTACCAGGCCGAGAAAGTGAGATAATGACGGCGCTGTGATCAGCGCAGGAAAGGCTGCGGAGTCGTGTATGCCCAGCAATGGATGCCAAGTGATGATGGCCAAGGTGCTGGATATGTTGGTTGGATGTAGACGAATGCCAAGCTCAGTCGAACAGGTTCAAGTCACTGCGAGCAGGTCAGACCCTTCTCGTTCAGGTCAATACAGATCTCGAGATCGCCGATTCCATCCACCTCACACTTTAAAAAAATTGTATTCCCGCGATTGCCCCGCTTCCAAGTGGACATCCATTTTGCAATACCGGCTATAAGCGCCAAACGCCTGAGGCCAACGGAAAAGAGAAAGCAGACAAAGCAGACACAGCAGAGAAAGCAGACAAAGCAGACACAGCAAGAGATGGACCTTTTCCAGCCTGCATCTGTTCGAAGATTTAACTCTGATCGACACTTATCGGGAGATATCAGTCCAAGTAAACGGTGTTCAAACTTTTGAGCTAAAACACTATACTATATTGACATAAGGGAAGAACATAGCGGTAGCCTCAAGCTCTCCGCTCTTTTTCTATATATACATTTGTGGTTTGTGACTGACTGTGGGAGCATGCCACCTAATGAGGATGTATGACAACGGACGGGACCCAACGGTCCTCGATCTCCATCATATCGGCCCGCCCGATCTCCGATCAGATCAACTCTCCCCGATCCGTCATCAGATTGTGCTCTGCTGGATCGTTATCTCCAGCAGCATCAACCAAGACTCAAATGATGTGACTCGCTTCTCCGCTTGGCTCAAGCTCTGGCAATTGCACTCTGACCTGACCTCTCTTATCTCTTTGCCAACGGAACACACACTGAGCCGCTCGAGGCAAGGTACTGTATATGTTGATCATACCGCCATCTCTCACCGGCGTGACAACTTTTCAGAAGCATTGATCAAGCAAGACAACCGCCCAGACGCTGGACCCGAATTTGGACACATGGGACAGGGGGGGGATTTGCAACTTGGACGAAGCTAAATGATCAAGGTCTTCTTGGTAATGGCAAAACAGCATCTGAGCCTCTTCTCAATGAGTAAGACTAGCGAGTTGCTTGATGTAGCCGAGATCGAGGTCACGATTTGCCCCTTTGAGCAGGACCCCGTGGAATTTCTCCCCGGTCGTAGGCTGAAAAGGAACGGCGGCATTCTCAGGATGATCTCCGTCCGGGTAATACACTGGGACAGTGTGAAAGCCAGAGTCATGGCCGTTGCCATGCCGCTGCAAATTGTCCATATAGCGGTGAAAGGCAGCCACATGATTTGCGTCGGCAAGCTCAAGCGTTGTGGATGCCGTGAACTCGGGGAGAAGCGTGTACTTAAGTCGTTTGAGCAGCGTTTTGCTTTCCACGTCCTTATCCGCGTATTCGCCAAGCACTTGCGTAATATAGTCTCTGACAGAGGCGCGAAACTGCTCGTTTCGCTCTGGGCTCATCCTTGCCTCGCGAATCTTCTCTTCCAGATTACTCTCATTTCCGACCGGAAATTTCTCGATGTGTCCGGCTTCATGGGCTTTTATCAACTGTCGAGCCCAGAAGTGATCGTTAACAGCCTGCTCGAGGTCATACTGAGGGAAGATGTGCTTGATGGCTGTCAATGGCTGCTTGCCACCGTCCTTAGCGGCATAGCTGTCCATCGATGAAGTAAAGATCACCTGAGCGCTAGGGTTTTTCTGGATCACCCATGAACGTAGGTTTTGAAGGAACAGTTGTTGCCTTCTCATATCCTCTTGCCTGCTGTTGTAACCATGCAGAAGCATGTAGCTCTCAATCGAACCAGGATCGGCTGAGCTGATGACCATTTGAACATCGGCCATGGTGGTCGGTGCAAGCTGGAAGATCCTGACTTGATTTCCATTCAGTTCTCCTCGAAGAGCCTTTGCCTGTGCAGGGGCTACAGATATTCCATTAATCGTATTCCACCAACTCTCGTGTCCGGGAGACTCGCCCAACACATTCGAGCCACTGAACATCCTGAGCTTTCCAAGGTCGACGCGGACGTTGGCGATGTTATTTTGGCGGCCAAGATAATCTTGGAGCTCTTGTGCCGCTTTTTCGTGTCCATTGATTCCTTCAGTGATAGCGATCACTTTATCGTATCTCGGGTCGAGCATCAGAGACCAAATGGCAGCCTTGTCGTCAAACTTGACATCGACAAAAGCCACGGCGACTTTTTCTGCAGCACATACTGATGCGAAGAGGAAGAGGGAAGAAAGGAGGATCGTGGAAAGAGGTCGGAGCCACATCGTCGTGACCGATGCTTGATCTTTGCAAGAAAAGTTCTAGACTAGTTCTCCTTAGAGTAGCTCAAAGGGAAGAGGTGGAGCGAGGGCGTCCTTTTTATCCTTTTGCCCTGCCTGTCGGGCTCACAGCAAAACTGTTGGTTTAGCTCAGAGCCGCTCGGTCCTGCTCTCATATTGAACAAGCTACTACGGCGAGAATCTTGAGCCACAAGACACTTCAATGATGAGTCCCACCAATGCAGGCCATGGTGCAGGACGATACTGACAATGTATTGGTATCAGGTAATGAGCGCCATGAACGCCATATGTCCGAGAGTAAGTAGATGTCGATAATGAAACATTTGCTCCGTGCGTCTTTGAACGTCCGCGATATGCGTCGAGTGTGGGTGCTACGTGTACAAAGTTTGGCATGCTCAAGTTTCTGTTCAGTCACGGAAAACGCATAGACACTGTCGCCAGCTGAACTTGTCGCCACCGATCGACATGCTTACAATCACGCCAAGTTGCTTGAGAATGAGAACTTGCATGACCAATCAAGATATTTAACTATGCACAGAAGACATGCCTGTGTTGCTGAATTGTACGAGGATATGCATGTATCATCTCCTGTGGCTCTTGGGCTCCGGTCAGACAAAAAGGATTCTTGACAGTGCAATGCCAGTTCATTTACTTTCGGTGACCAAAGGCAAAGGAACGAAATGTTTTGGTTGTGTACAATAGCCAACACTTCCTCTAACAAGGTCGGAAGTGGGCCATGAATGGGGTATCGGATACAAAGGGTATCATGTTGAGTGATTACGGTGCCACAACGGTGGGAGAGCGCAAAGTGGGACCGAACAGGAGCGCCCAAGTGTAAGTGCAATAAAAAGATGGGTTGCACATTGAGCGGGCAGGTTTGCAGATGAAGCCGCTGCGATTCCAACTTTTCAATCTGCCTTGGGCAGCAAGGTCGCAAGAGCAGGTGGTGTGGGCTTTCCACGGCGCACGCTGCGATTTGGACCTCGCTCAACCACGACAACAAAAGTGAGGAAGACAACAAAGACAAACTGTACCCACTCCTCTACCCAACCGTACGTGGCCTGAGACACATGCACGACCCTCTGCTTGACCATGGCTGGATGATAGCGGGCGCGGAAGGATGTTGGGAAGTAGTCTGTGCCGCGACCACCTTGCTTCTTCCAAGTGGGGCAATCCAGAAGCTCAAACTCGCCATCTTCAGGACGAACAAAGTCCAGACCCATCAGGCTTCGATCCTGGTCGCATTCGAGGTCTAGAGCTTCGCATGCGGGTTGCCCCTTTCTGGTCGGCGAGATGCAAGCCACGTCCCGCATCCACCTCTGCGTGGATCGTCGCGGGTCTCGGCGGGAGGGCAATGCATCTGTGGGACCAGCCGCCAGAGCCTGCCTCCTCTTCTCTTGCAGTTTCTGAGGCGTTGGTGCGTACGTAGCAAGGATCTGCTCTTCGTGCTGCTCATCATGGGCATCGTACTCCCATTCGTGGTCGAAGCCGCGCTCGCGCAGAAGATCTTGACGGCGTCTTCGCAGCAGCGACTCAATGCGGAGGCGATGCTTAATCTGCTCTGAAGACTCGATCTCGAGACGGAAGTGAGTCACGTCTTTGCTTGCTCCACCTTGCTTTTGCTTCTTACTGTTGAATGCTCGAGACATGCCAAAGATGGAAGCCCCCTGGTTTGACTTGCCCTTGAGGAGTCGAGCGCTTTGGCTAGCGAGAGGAGACGTACCAGGAGCCAAGAGACCGAGCCTCACAGCTTCGCGCTGGCTGATAGTTCGACCGTAGTCGTCATCGTCAGCCCATGCCACTGCTTCCTGCTCGACCACGGCGTTGATGAGATCGAATTGTGCCCCTCGAGGCTCGTCTCCTCCTTGCAGTTGACCCTCCTCGATGATGGGCTGGTCAGCCAGCCAGTTACCTTGCTCTCGTGCTTCGACGCGCGCGAGCAGGGCCGCATCGCGAGGACGAAGAGGAGAATCGTCCGAGAAAACGTCCTCGACATTGCCATATACCGACTGTGCTAACACGCATTCGAGATCATCCTCCTGTTCTTGCTTGTTCTCAGGAACGAGTCGACCATAATGGGCAGTAGGACGATCCGACTTAACCTCGGTGATGATCTTGGAACGCAGCTCCAAGGCAGATGTAGAGCTGACAGAGCGCAGCACCAGAGGCTGTAGCGTCGTCTTGTCGGAGTCCGAGCTGGACGAAGTGGCAGGTCTACGATGTTGCGGTAAGTCGTCGTCGAAATCGTGCTTGCGATCGTCGCCGCCAAAAATGCTACCAAGCTCACTGCCGAGTGTCCTGCCGTGATGGGAAGAGGCAGAAGCAGGACTGCGCTGCAACACAGGCCGACTCCAGGCCGACGAGGGGCTGATGAAAGGATCCGGGCTTTGTCGGATCAAGCTTGCTTCCAATCCAAAGGATGAGGTTTTAGACCTTGTCCTGCGAACACGTGCTGTTGGATGGAACGACATTTGTTTCATGGGAGACAAGTAGGGTGTAGTGTCGTTCCTCTGAGAGACAGCATTCAGCTTGCTCGGGTTCTCGTTCGCAGGACAACTGTCCTTGACGTTATCGTCCTGGGTATCGATGCGCTGGGATCGACTCGAGTATGCTTGTATTGCATAGGAAGGACTGAGCGAAGAATGTTGAGGAAAAGCGGGGGTGATGGGACTGGCGACATCTTGCCAGTCTGCTGCGGCGGATGTTTCCAGAGGTGGACCAGCGATGACCTGCTCTTGCATTTTTCGTCGACAGCCAAGGTCTTCAATTGAAGGCGTGATACGAATCCGTGGTCTACCCGCGGGGCCGAGCGCGATCGAGTTGGACGAAGCTTTCCTGTTCAGGCCCCTTTGTCGAGGAGAAGATGAAGCGCTGCCGCTGCCGCACAGGTCGATGGAATATGTGCCAAGAGACCGCTCTGTTGATGATCGCGATAAGCGCCCATCAGTGACTGGAGATTCATCGCCATGGATACCCCAGATGTCGGCTGCCAGCTCTTTCTTAGCTCGACGAATGGCTAACTTGACCGTCTTGCGGTGCTCGATCACATGGCGGTTGCCCGGGGCTCTACGTCTTGCGTTGGGCGACGCAGACGACACCAGCCTTGGCGCGTCGGCGGATTCGACCGAATCAAGACTGCGGAGACAGTGAGAAGGAGTGATGAAGCCAGACTGAAGGCTGGTTCGCTTCGGCGGGCTGCACATCATGGATAAGGGACCGGATGCACCTTGAGTCTTTCCAGGGCTAGTGCAGGATGCCTGTGCTATGGCATCGACGCTGAGGTCCTGACCGACAGTGTTGAAAGCATCACGAAGCCGCTCGTCTTCTTCCATCGCGCGACCCATTCTGCTGCCAAAGTCTTCCTCGGCCTTAGCCATGGCAGAGTTGGTTTCCTCCAATTCTTTGATCTTGGCGAGCAGTTGAGCTAGTAAAGCACTTTCGCCATCGGTAGTCAGTGCTGAGCGCACGAGGTCCTCCAAGTTGGATGTTGAGGGCACAAGTCCATGATGGTTTGGACTCGGCTCTTCTGCGATGGCTCTAGGTTCGGCGGATGCGAGAGTCGATGCTACTGTTGTGTGACGAGCTTTTGCGGGGAAAACCAAAGGAGAGGCAGGGTCTTGACGATGGTGAGCTACAGGATGTCGCAAAGGCGACCTTGTGGCAGAGGTAGGGCGAGAAGGATGGCCATGAGTCTCGAGCTCAACGTTGCGACGGGTAGCTGCTTCTAACTCTGCTTTGAGGCCACGAATCTCTTTGTTGAGCCTGCCGAGCTTTTTGCTGCCTTGGTAGCGGGCGCTCTCGGCTTCATGCTGGAGCTCTGAGATCTGCTGATGGAGGACGTCGTTCTGCTCGCCGAGGGAAGCGAGTTGCCTTTGCGCTTCCAAGGTCTGCAGTTGCAGCAGAGAAGGTCGCGACCGATGTCTGCTGCTGGATGCGTCTCTTTTTGAGTGAACGCGGGACATGGTGTCAGCGGGTGAAAGAAGGGCATGAGAGGCGAAGCTCGAGATGGAGGCGCTCGGCGAGCATGGCTGTGAGGTGATGAGGCCGGCATCGCTTGGCACCCACATGGATTTGTCCGAGTTATGCGAGTGAGCATCGCCCATGGAAGCATGTGAACGATGAGACGTCTGAAGAGCAGTAGAGACCGGTCTGCTGAAGTAATCGAGCTCTGTGCTCGGGAGCGCGATAGGCTGGGCTAAAGGCGTGATGTCGGTATCGGACCTACGTGGTGAGAGATGACCCTGCGAATGAATGTCGATGTCGGTAGTCGGAGGTGAGTTGATAGGGTGAGAAGCCGAGTAGGGCGTGTGGTTGTCAACGTCGTCCTGTTGGCGCAGGTAAGCTGGATCTTGAGGGTCTGAGATGTCGTTGATCATGGCTTCGATATCGGTGAGGCCGACAAGGTTAGAGCTGGAAGCCATGCTCGTCATGATGCCGCTGCGTAGGTTAAGATTCTTTTCGAGTAATGCTTTGCCAATGTTGGCAGCAACGACGAGCTTCTTCTCGCGTTGGCGCACCTTACGACTTGCTTCGATGAGAAGCTCTTCGAGCTCGTAGCGATCAAGTCCTCCTAAATAGGCATGGTCGAGGACCTCCTCGGATGTGGATGGTGTGAGCGACTCTGGCTCAAAAGCGGCGTCTTGTGGAGCATTTTCGTGTGGATAAGCAGGCGAATCATGGGCCGGCACTTGTTCATGATGCTTCAAGCGCGGCACGAGCTTATCGACGTCGAAATCGAATGGTTCACTGGATTTGAGATCCACGAGGTTTTTCATGTCGGAAAGAGCCGTACGAGATGGCTTTGACTTTGGGTGTTCAAGATGAGCGTCTATGCAGGTGTCTGTGTCCAGTGTAGGTGCAGGCTGGTGCTCGGGCGAAGGTCGCCTTTGACCTGGAGGTCGTGGTCGCGATGCTGTACGGCTCGTCGCTGAGAGCATGTTGTGCGAGCGTAGCAGAGGGCCAGGGACAAACTATCACCATAAAGACGCTCAAGATTCAGTTGGAAGGAGTAGCATAGAAAGCGTTATTCAACGGAAAGGGTTGTCGATAGGGGTCGCATGGGAATCGCGGTCGTTGAGAGAGGCCAGTGGGACGAGGATGGTGCGAAAGATGCAAGGTGAAGCCAGTTGGGGGTTGCTCCCGTCAGCTACAGTGATCCTGGCAGTCGGGATATCCCAGAGATGACAAACACGGTGTATGCGGAGGGGATCGATGTGTAAGGATGGTGGAGTGAATGCGGGAAGCGGATGTCAGATAGAATGAGATGGTGAGGAAGAGGAAGGGCTCTCACTTGGCAAGACACAACTGTATTGAAAGCACCAGCGACTTTCAGGGGTCTAAGATGTAGCCTTTGCAAGACATGGGACAAGGCATTAGTGCTTTCGATTAGCGGTCTGGCACATCGCTCGGCATCATCGGCTTGCTTCTCTCTCGCTTTCTTTTGTCTTGCTCGGCACTTCCGATAAAAATAATGTGTTGCTTTCAGCTGACAGTTTTCAAGAATAAATTAAATACATTAAAATAAATACATTAAGCAAGCGAAGGCTTGAGTGCAGGCCTGGGTTGCCTTCTCCGCTCAGGGGCCAAGGCCATCATCTGCAGTGGACATGTCAAAGAGGAAGCGACAGGGTCCTGCTCACACTCAAGCTTAACAATGTCGTGGAAAGAAAGCTTTCTCCAGGACGAGTTCTCTCTGGGCCATCTCAAAAGGGTTAGCATGCTGGCTGTTCTCCTCCGCCATCTCAAGGATAACAATAGGGAAGCACATGAAAACAGTCGCCACCATTTTCATTTTTATTTTTATTCTATTATTTTTATTTTATTTGTTTTCCCCTTTTTCTCTGAAAGAATTTCAAAGCAAACTCGGACGCGATGGCTACCTCTGCGGCACACGCGTCTTGATGCACGAGCTGCAGACGAGTGCAGAGCATCACTCGAGTGTTGGTCTCGGCAGCTGCATTCGCGTCCTTCTCTGAATCCTACCATCGCGCTGAATTTTCACACAGCACAACACACACACACAATGGCCTTTTCTCTTGGGCCTTTTCTCTTGGGCAGTTTGCCAGTGCGGCAGTGCCGAGAGGGGGCCCGCTTGGCCATTACTCATCGTCGGGGAGCCGTTCGCACTTTACAGAGCCACAGTCTTGCACCTTTCCTCGCAAGTTTGACAGGAATGGCATTGCAGTAAAGCGCTTTCTCGTTCGTCGAAGGCATCCTTGTCAGAGGGACCAAAGGCCGAGTGGAAGGTACGAGGTGAGCTGTCCGAGAGCAGCACAGACCAAAGAAGGAGAAGGTCTAACCCTAACCCTAACACCTTTTTGCAACCTAGATCCTAGGCCCTGGCATGCGCCGCCCCTCTGTTTCAATCCGGATGGGCGTCTCGAGCCCAGGAGCGAGACTGCTCCTCAACCTTCTGCCACTTTTCTTGCTTGCTCTTCAGACGAGCGTCCTCAAGACCTCGATGGACTCGAGATCACCATCTCTACTTGTTTTGGCCCCGTTTTACCGAGTTTTGATCGTCCAAGCCTGCCTGTACCTCGACTCCCGACCTTACAATTGTGTGACCGACGGCCTGCTGGTTTCGCCATCCGACAATCGTTCCGGTTCCCTGCCAACTCCGACTCGGCTCCAGTATTCTAACATCAACCAAGCGCTTATCGCTACGATCGCGTTCATCATCTCATCTCGCTCGACCAACTCCGAGGACAAGGAGGACCCTTTTTCTTTGTTTCCTTTTTTTTTTTTTTTTTTTTTTTCTTTTTTTTTTCTTTTTTTTATTCTTCTTCTTTTTCTTCTTCTTTTTCTTTTACTCTGTGTGTTGCTTCGCGTGCCGTCTCCCGAAGCACGCGTCGGCGGACTTCAGGGTTCAGTATCAATCGCCGATGTCAACAATAAGGGCCGCCCAATCGACGATTAGCTGTTTCCAAGGAGTTTTCCACCATTTTCCATCCCGACACCCGACCGAAATCCAACTCCTTCCAACAGCGAGCTTCAAGCGGAATTGAACAAGTGAGCGAGCCGAAGCTCAATTGTTCTCAAGCCAACCATCCAACTTGGTCGTCCGACATCATCATCAGAGTGTCACCGGTCAGAGCAACCGCCTCCCACAAGCGCCTCGAATCAGATCTATCGCTTAATTAAAGTCACTTCGCACTAGGCACAAGCGTCATTCGATATGGTCATCTGCACTCGTCGCGGTTGCGGCGTCGACTTTGATCCCGCAGCATCTTCTTCAGCTTCAGCCTCCTGTAGCTACCATCCCGGCGCTCCCGTTTTCCACGAAGGTCTCAAGTCATGGTCATGCTGCAAGGACACCAACAAGCCTGTTATGGAGTTTGACCAGTTCCTTGCCATCCCAGGTTGCGCCTCTGCCGACTCTCATACCACCGAGAAGCAAGCCGTCCCTACAGTCAAGAGCGGAACTGTCGTCTCTGACGCAAACGCAAATGACTCTGCCCCTGACCTCAAGGTCGTTTCAAAGGATGCCGATGGTAAGGAGACATTTGGCAAGGCCTCGGCAACATCAAACGTTGTCCAGCCACTTTCTGGGTTGTCTCTCCTAGCAGCCCAGAACGCCGCTCAGTCCTCCAAATCAGAGACCAGCGCACCTGTTCACAAAGAGCCCGTCGAAGAGGAGGACCCAGTTGAGTCTGACGCCAGCCTTCCTGCTGGTCTCGTATGTAAGCGAGGTGGATGCGGCTTCAAGTTTGAAGGAGGTGCTCGAGATCGATCAAAGGAAACCTGCAAGCATCACAAGGGCTCGCCCATCTTCCACGAAGGCTCCAAGGGTTGGTCTTGTTGCAAGCGCAGGGTACTTGACTTCAACGACTTTTTGCAAATCGTGCCTTGCACCACCGCCAAGTCTGGTCACTTGTTCGTCGGTGCACCCAAGACTGCTGCAGACGGCAGTGCTGATGGAGAGGAGAGCGTCGATTGCAGAATGGATCACTACGAGACACCAAACGATGTGCGCTTGACCGTCTATGCAAAGGCTGTCGACGCCGCCAATAGCTCCATCGAATTCAACGAGGACGGAGTAGTCTTTTCGCTCCTGCTCCCGCCAGCGACCGGCTCGTCTCGAGGACGCCGCTTCAAGAAGATCCTCAAGCCCTTTGCACCCATTTTGCCTGCCGAATCATCCTTCAACATCACCAAGTTCAAGGTCGACCTTGTCCTCACCAAAAAGGCTAAGTGCCAAAGCTGGCCTTGTCTCGAGAGTGGCAATCGCCCCATAGGCTATGGTCTCACTTTTGGTCGTGACAAGGACAAGTGAGGTGGCGCCCGATCTCCGCCTACACAGCAACTCACCTACAACACAGCCTCGAACATACACTCGCACTTGTAACAACAGAAGTCATTCATGATTCATCGCATATAGCATTTTTCAACAAGCAGAAAAATGCTCCAATCTGATGTCTCGTTACACTGAGTTTCATTGCAAGAAGTACTCTCAAGCTCGACTGTGGATGTCAGCATGCGCTCGTACAATCACACATGCCAGCGCACTCGAGCGGGTTAAATTGAGTGACTTCAACAATGTCGGTTGTATTCAACTGATATGCATCTACAGAAGCGAAGAGATCTTCATCGGGCGTCGTACCGCATTTGAGAAACCCTCATGGTATCGGTAGAACACTTTGATCTTGCCATCGCTAGCAATTTCAGGGGTACCGCTTGTCGCTGTGATCTCTGCTGTCGCTGCAGCCTCGTTGCTGGAGGATGGCGTCAACTCACTCGAGCTGACAGATCGTATCTCTGGCAACTTCCTCTTCTTGCCTCCCATGCCTTCCGGAATCGGTACCGCCAACAGTGCTGCTGGCACTGATGCGCGCTTCTGCACAATGGGTCGACCAAAGAAGTCGACCGCAATCTTCTCCTTCCTGTTCTTGATCGAATCTCGTGCGACATCCGTGCTGGCGCTCTTGCACCGATAGATCGCTGTCGCATTCTTCGAGGTGGAGCCCGCATCGTCCTCATCGCCCTCGACGCCTGCATTCCTTCTTAGCAGCCGCCTCTCCATCTCCCTTGCGATCAATTGACGTACTGCAAAGCGCGAAGGTCCAACCTCCTTGGAGCGCTTACCCTCGAATTGCGTAAAGATGTCAAGCGGAGGATCAAGCTTGTATACAAGTTGACCTGCGCCCTGCCCTGTTGCCGCGGCTTCTTCCTCCGAGATCTTGTCCTGCACGAATTTGATGTTGAGCGACGACATGATCGAGACAAGCGATCCGAACACTTGCTTGTCCTCGGCACGTGACAATTGGTTGTTGATGGGTCGAAGATCTGGAGTGAGGATGCGCATCAGTGAAGGTCCCAACTCGGTGATGACCGCATGTCGGTTGAACTGTGAGCGGACGTTGGCCGGCAGATTGCCAACGATCTGTGATGCGATCTCGTTGAATGCCGAAGTTTTGAGATGGTTCTCATAGTCGACCTTGGGATATTCGGGCAATGCATTGCCGACGTGAGCGAATAGTAGATGCCAGCAAATGAAAGTCCAAGGCATGAAGCCAAGCAGCTCGTAGTTGCCGTGTGACCATGCCCGCGTTGAAATGCTCTGTCCAAAGTGTAGCCAGTCATGAACCTGTCGGTATCGCTTCCAACCACCGTCAGCTGCGCGAAGCGTCGGATAGTGCTCGAAGCAGCCTTGCGCAAGCTTGTCATACTCGTTGCAGCTGCTCACCTCGTGTATGATGCGGCTGACATTCTCTTGAGGTGTGTCCACAAGCGCAAAGTCCTTTTGCTTCTCTTTGCCCTCCCGTGTCAACTCCTGCGCCGACGCTTTACGTGAAGAATTCCACGGTGAGCCTTCTGCATCTGCAGCGTGCGCGTTGGCGCCTTTCATGCTCGATGCCGCTGCCTGCTTCCGGTTCTGACGCCGGAAGAGCATCTCCCAAGCCTTGTGAACGGTTCCACCCGTGTCCTTGATCCCGATCGATGCATTCTTGACCGCTGCTTCCGTCAGGGCAATGTTCTTGGTCTTTGCAAACTCGAGCGCGTTCAGGCAAGAGCGAATGTCGCCGTTGGTGAGATCTGCCAGGAGGGACAGACCGCGGGCTTCAACTGAGAGTGATTCGGCCTCGCAGACTTCGCGCAGACGCTTGACTACGACATTCGTCGGCGGCTTGTTGAATCGAATGAGTTTGGCCATGGGTCGCAGCGGACGCAGCGAGGGGGCGTAGAGGTCGTTGCAAATGCAAATGATGGGTCGAAGAAGCGGCTTGTAGCCTTTGCGTTGCTGTTTCTTCCCACGAGCAGCAAGGCCAGCCGCCTTCGGACCAGCCGCCTTGCCCATCTCCACCAGTCGTACCAACGCACGCACAAAGCCGTGAGACTCGCCCGAAGCGCCACCACCGCCTCCTGTTGCACCATCAATCTCGTCAATTACCACCAGTGTGGGTCTCGGATCCTTGAGACTGCCGGACTCGAGTGCCATCTTGATCACGTCTTCGACCGCTCCTGACGTACGAGCATCACTGGCATTCAGCTCGTAGACATTGTAGCCAGCGTGCGCGCCGATCACATGAGCAAGTGTTGTCTTTCCTAATCCAGGCGGACCCGAGATCATGATGATGCGCTCCTTCGGACGGCCGTACGGATCTTTCCAAATATGATCGCTGCCGTTGCTTCCGTTTGCATGGTCGGAATAGCTGTACTTGGCCTGAATGTACTGTCGATGACGCTCCTTGCGGTGGTTCTTGCGTTTGAAGACGCACTCGTCCCACTCCTTGAGCCAACCCAGCACCTCGCGATGCACCCGCTCGTCGCCAAGGAGCTCTGTAAATTTGGCAGGTCGATGCTTGTCCACCCACATTTGCGAAGTACCATTGACACCTTCTGCTGATGTTGTCGGTCGAGGTGTCTGCCGAGCGCGAGCACGCCCTTCTTCGTCGCGTTCGACCACATCTAGCGCCTTGAGAGCTTCTACAGCGTCGAGCAGCTGATGGATCGGTCGCTCGAGAAGCTGCGAGGTATCGACATCGGACATGATGGCGGGTGGCTTCCATCCTTTCACGCGTTTTCGACGCTCAAAGCGCACCAATTTTCCGTCCATGGTGGTTGCATTGAAGAAGCCGGCAGGAATGTATTTTGGGACGCCTACGGGCTTCACTCGGGTAGGAAGTCGTGAGGGTCCTGCCTGAGCTTCGCTTGCACCTGCAGAGTCCGATGACCCCTCTACCTCCATCTCAGCCGTTGACAGTGCCTCGATCGCCCTTGAAGATCCCTGTCCCGATGTCGAAAACGGTTTGTTCGTCCACGTTTGCGGCTGGATTTTCGCCGTCACAGGCGTGATCGAGTGCTGCGAGCTTGGCTGAGACGACGTGCCAAGCAGACCATTGCTTTCGAGAAGGTCAGAAACGAGAGATGACGCTGGCGAAGATGAGACGTGCTGGAAAGGAGCCGGGTCTGTGTCGTTAGCGAGAATGTCAGGTAGAGGTGAAGGTGGGCGTTGCGAGGGTTGTGCTAGCCGAGGCGCGGCGGTTTGTTCTTCCTCTGCGAGCAAGAAGGCTTCGAGCTCGTCATCGTCATGTCCGAGCATAGGCGCCTTCGGTTCGGGCTTGTGTGACGGCTGGTACTCTCCCGAGTCTTGCTGCATGTCCATCTCTTCGTCGAGCAACTGATCCAAGTCAAGTTCCGCATCGAAATCCATGCCACCGCCTCCATCAGGGCTTCTGATGAACACCGACGTGTTCAGCTTGGACGATCCTTGCGAGCCCCATGCATTGAGAGCTTTCTGAGCCTCGCTCTGGGAGCCATGAGGACTGATCAAGTTGGTATCGCGCTCTCGGAATTGACCTGCTGCACCCGGAAAGAGCTCGTCAGCTTTGGCTTGCGACAAGAGAGAAGTCGAAGTCGGCAGGTCGAGATCCAAAAGGCTGTTGCCTTCCAGCAGGCTTGTTTCGGCCATAACGGCTGCCCTTGTACGTCTTTGAGTCTCTGTATGGAGGACGCAGCGGCTTTGACTTAGCAATAGAGTATGAAGGTTGGTGTGCAAAGCGGTTCGTTGAAAGGGTGGTGAAGTTGAAAGAACCAAAAGTTGATTCATAGGGTTCGAGTCCAACACGCCTCTGAGTTCAACTCTTGCGTCGCGCGACGCGTAAAATACATGTTTCCAATGTTACACCATTGCCGATCTCACAACGACGGGATCTCGACCAGACCAGCTCGATATCAACAAGTCTCGAGCATGAAAGACCATTCGCATGTCTCTTCTCCGTAGTCCCCCAGTCCAGAACGTGATCAAGCATTTTGCTAGGAGAACAGCAGAAATGAAGCCTGATATCTCTCGAAGAGGCTTTCCGGGGACCATGTTGCCAATGTACTCAAAGATGTGAGCTCAGCACTTCTTCAAGTTTACTTGTTGTATTGCTTGGAATGACTGCGAGACAGGTGCCGAAAAGGGTTGCACGAGGCTGTGTAATGACAGATCTTCACATTCTGTGGCAGAAGCGAAGGGAGCAAGAGTCCAAAAGGCACCAAATCGTGATGACGAGGAGAAGAGGCAGAGGGTAAGTCAGTGTGGGTTCGCAGAAGCAGACGTCATCTTGGCTTGATCAGAACTTACCGGTAGACACCGTCGCCGTAGCTGTTACCGTCCCATGCAGGGTGACGCGAGCCGCCTGCATCGCCACGTTGAGTGCTCCTCCATCGACCAGTGTTGGCAACGCTCAATCCAAGAGCCAGCATGCTTCGTGTGTCTTGCGGTCGGATAATACCATCATCCCAGAGGCGGGCCGAGGCGTATTCGGGCAAAGTCTGCTTTTCGATCCTGTCTCGGAGCCCCTCTTGCTTAGATTTGTCGCTGCTCACCGTTCCCATGACCGAGCTGAGCTGCTCGCCGCCCATCACACCGACACGCGCGTTGGGCCACATCCACAGGAAGCGAGGACTGTAGGCTCGACCGCACATGCCGTAGTTGCCGGCTCCGAAGCTGCCTCCGACAATGACCGTAAACTTGGGCACGTTGGCACATGCAACAGCTCGTACCATCTTGGCACCGTCCTTCGCGATACCTCCTCGCTCCGCCTTGGTACCCACCATGTAGCCGGTAACATTGACCAAGAAAACAAGCGGAATCTGACGCTGGTTGCAAAGCTGGATGAAGCTGGTGGCCTTCTTGGCCGACTCTCCGAAAAGCACGCCGTTGTTGCCGATGATGCCGACATCCTGACCTGCGACCTTGGCGAAACCTGTGACGATCGTGTTGCCGTACAGCTTCTTGAACTCGTGGAAGCGCGAGCCATCTACCAAGCGTGCGATGATGTCGCGGATGTCGAATGGCTTTCGCGCGTTTTCAGGGATGATGCCGTGGAGTTCGGACTGATCGTAGAGAGGCTGCTCGAAGGATACGTCTGTGAGGAATGCATTGGAGCGACCGCAGAGACCCAAGTTTGCCACCGCCTCTCGTGCAAGCGTGATGGCGTGGGCGTCATCGACAGCGAGGTGATCTGTCACACCGGACTCGCTGCAGTGCATCTCACCTCCTCCAAGTGTCTGTACGTCCGCGGACAAAGATCAAAGATGTCAGTTCATGGTTGTCAAGTGGGAAGTCATGGGAAGTCGGGGCCTCATTTTTACTCACCTCGTCGTCGACGACTTCGCCGAGCGCTGCCTTGACGAGTGGAGGTCCGGCCAAGAAGATGGTACCCTGGTTGCGGACAATGATGGTCTCGTCAGCCATCGCTGGCACGTAAGCACCACCAGCTACACTGATACCGTGAACAACGGAGATCTGCGGGATGCCGAGCGCCGACATTTGAGCCATGTTGTAGAAGATGCGTCCGAAATGGTTCTCGTCGGGGAAGACGTCGGCCTGGTGAGGCAGAGCAGCTCCACCACTCTCGTTGAGGTAGACGCACGGCAGGCGGTTCTCGCGAGCAATGGTCTGCGCACGGAGATGTTTCTTGACGGAGATGGGATAGTAGCTTCCTCCCTTGACAGTAGGGTCGTTGGCAACAATCATGCATTCGGTGCCCGAGACACGTCCGATCCCAGAGATCATACCAGCGCCTGGGATCTCGTCATTGCCGTACATCTCGTAGGCAGCCAGCTTTGAAAGCTCGATAAAGGGCGAGCCATGGTCAAGCAGCGCAGCTACACGATCACGAGGAAGCATCTTGCCTCTCGAGACGTGTCGTGTTCTTGCCTTTTCGCTCCCGCCGAGTGCAAGTTTGGCGTGGGTAGCATCGAGCTTGTCGACGAGGCCGTCCATGTACGTTTTGTTGGCCGTGAAGTCGTCCGAGGATGGATCGACATTGTTAGGGAGGACGCTCTGCTGTTCTTGGAAGACCGAGTGGGCTGAAGCACGATAAGACCTCGAGGGAACGCTAAGTGCTTTGTGAGCTTGGCGAACGGTGCCAACCGCGAGTCTACAGGTGGTTTGTCTCGCCAACATGGTCGAATTGTTTCTACTCGGTGCCACGGAACGTAATCGGAAGCGAATGGGAGGCTGACAATTTCGGCCAAACAGCTGGAGAAGGGATGATGGTGGTAATGAAAGGGTCGGTGATGTGGAAAGAGAAGAGAGGCGAACAAGTGGGACCTCTTTGCTTCAGGTCAAGAAAAAGTTGAAGAGCAGTCAAAGCCGAAGGTCTCTCTCTCTCTCTCTCCATATAACGCAGTTGTGTGTTGCTCGTCAATTAGCCGGCCAATCTGAGCACAGACGCAACTATGTCTCTCTCTCTCTCTCTTTCTCTGTGTACTCCCTGCTTCTCTGACAACAATTCTGAGTATCCGAGACATGAGCGGGGCCAACACTTCTTTTCGGCAGCGAAGATGCGGGGGAGCGGGGGGAAAAGAGCCGAGAGACATATTTGGTCCGTCAAAAGCGAAACTTCAGATAGCCGGATCAACGGTGAGTTATCGCCCTTGACCACGCGTGACAATAGGGATGTTCAAGTCGTCGCGCGAGGCTAAAGAAATTAGAGTAAAGCAGTTGAAGATAACAATTAATATACGCCGTTAACGGGGCCACAATCAGGCTCTCTTACCACAGGTGTATGACTTCTTGTAATGCTTAAAAGTTTTTCATGGTCTGTATCTTAATGACAAGCATATATATATATACCCTATTGCCACCCTTGATCATGTCCAAACTAGATGAGTCATTGCTTCCAGACCCCCCTGAGTTGCTGCTTTCTGTGATGCCCCTGAGCTGTTGTTATGGCAACCTTCTTGTGCTTTATTGTGTTTATTGCTTATGCACACTTTTGGTCCCTCAGTGTCTTGGCTAAAGCTCATGTACTCTGTTTGGGATGCTGACACATCTTCAACTCACCCCTTGGCAGTATCTCCAGTCCTATCATCCTAGCTAATTGAGAGGTGTTGAGCCCATTCAAAGGTTTTGTCAAGCTGTCTGCTATGTTGTTCACTGTTCCAATAAATTTGATTGTTATGTCACCCTTGTCATGGGACAGATGGATGTGCAGGAAGAACTGGATTCATATGAAGAAATCTTGTGCAACCATTGTGGATCAGGCGAAAGTAGAGTTCCAACAGAGTTGAGTGAGATTGGTAGGATCAACAGCTCTATGGCAAAACTTGTGGAGATCAGTAGGAACATAGGTCTTACTACAGGGGTCAGTAGAATCAGCAGTACCACACTTGTGTCATAGGCCTGGATGTGCAAGGAGTAAGAAGATCTGTCAACTCATATGAAGGGAGCACAGGAATCATGGAATCGGGCAGATTGAGGGGTTTGCAGCAGAGTTCATTGAGATCTGTGGTAGAAACAGTGCTATGACAGATCCCAGCAAGATCCACATGAACAAGGGCAGTATTACAAATTCCACCAAGATCAGTAGTAGTAGTGATCATGTGGCAGATTCCATGGAGATCAGTGGCAAAGATAATCATACAGCGAAATTCACATGTGAAGGAGGACCAAGCATTTCCAAGAAGGGGACTGAGCTCAGAAGCATGCAGCTGGTTACCACTCAGGAAGTCACAAGATGAAGACCAGGAGAACTGTCACTGGTGGGAGGAAGAAGAGCTGTGACAAGGACACCAGCAAACAGGTTATGAGGAGGAAGGGCAGTGTCGAGGGAATCGACACCTAGCTCGAAGAAGGACAGATAGGAGGGACAAGGAGGAGGGGCAGTGTTGCAGATGATGCTGCAGGCATGGTATATAACCATGCTCCTTGTTGCAACAAGTGAGTTGATGGCCATCCACTCTACACCATATAAACTAGTTATTACTTCAAGCATAAAGTACACATTAGTTTCAGTCAGCATAGTCGCAATCAAGTAGATTGCCTCTCATTGTAGCATGTGTGTTGTATCACTGTGTCAGAGGTTACAAGGGGGTTCCATTTTTAAATCGAGTAGGGTTGCTTAATCAAAGTTGTAGTACTACCCAAACTATGCATGTTTCATTATCCAACCCTACTCGAGTTGAGTAATAAAATTTTCTGATACAGCTTGGTGAAGTTGGGCCTGGTATGAGTCAGGTCATTGAAATATTGATATTTTTGACATGCACCCATAATAAAAGTTGTTGTTCTATACACCAATAAGAGTGTCCTAGACTGTCATGATGATAGACCAACCTGTTGTGGAGCTGCAGCCAACTTTGCATTTTTGAAATTTTGGCCAAAGCTGCAAGGGTCCCCCCTTGGAGGGGTGGGATATGGACCACCTCAGATCTTTATGCTACCTTAATGAACATTGTAGAAACATGCTAGGAGATGATGGATACAGAGTTTCAGACAGGAGTGAAGTCTGGTCATTGAGATATGGTGACTCATGTTGGCCAACTCTAACCCTACTTGGGTTAGGGTTAGGGTTACAAGGGTGTTCCCGGCGAGACCCTTGGAAACATGAAATCTGTACTAATGAGATATGTAGGGATACCCTAGGACTATGTGTATGCAAAGTCTCACGGTTAGGGTTAGGGTTAGGGTTAGGGTTAGGGTTAGGGTTAGGGTTAGGGTTAGGGTTAGGGGTTAGGGTTAGGGTTAGGGTTAGGGTTAGGGTTAGGGTTAGGGTTAGGGTTAGGGTTAGGGTTAGGGTTAGGGTTAGGGTTAGGG